GCGCTTTAAATCAAACGCACAGGCAGGCAACCCGTCCTGCATGTTCCTGGAGAAAGGTGCGCTGCTCGGTTGTTGTCGCTAGGCATGGTGAACTCGCTGAGGCACCTAAAAAAAGTAGATGCACAGGCAGGCAGCCCTTTCTGCCAGTTCCTGGGGAGGTCCGCTGTTTTGTTGTCACCAGTCGCGGTGATTTTTCTAGACGCCTCAAAATTAGGCGCTGGCAGTGTCTCATGCCACAAGTAGGCATGGTGAAGTCTCGTTTTGTGTGCTGTTATGCCCCTCCATTGTGTCACATGAGAATAGTGAAGTCTCCTGAGCTCCTGAGCCCCGTATCACCTCCTGAGCGAGGATTCTCCCCATCTTACCCCCTCTGCACGCTCTTACAAAACCTGCTAAGTCCGTTCTTCCTGGGTCTGAGTCTCCGTGGTTAATAAGTTTAGTTTTCAGATGTCTCAAAACGAAACTACTTAACATGCTAAGTCTGTTCTTACTGAGCTTCCAACATCACCTGCTCAGGTGACTTTTGTGTGAACGAAAAGTCACCTCTCATTTGTGACTGACCGACTGACTGACTCTGCAATGCCTTCGGCCTGTTCCAACTGCTTGTTTCTGTCTGTTCGCCAGGTGTTTGTGCTTCGTGAACTGAGACTATTTTTGAGGCGCCTAAAAAACGATGCCTTGTGTCTGTTCCAACTGCTTGGTTCTGTCTGTTCGCCAGGTGTTTGTGCTTCGTGAGCTGAGACTATTTTTGAGGCGCCTAAAAAACAATGCCTTGTGTCTGTTCCAACTGCTTGGTTCTGTCTGTTCGCCAGGTGTTTGTGCTTCGTGAACTGAGACTATTTTTGAGGCGCCTAAGAAACGATGCCTTGTGTCTGTTCCAACTGCTTGGTTCTGTCTGTTCGCCAGGTGTTTGTGCTTCGTGAGCTGAGACTATTTTTGAGGCGCCTAAAAAACAATGCCTTGTGTCTGTTCCAACTGCTTGGTTCTGTCTGTTCGCCAGGTGTTTGTGCTTCGTGAACTGAGACTATTTTTGAGGCGCCTAAAAAACAATGCCTTGTGTCTGTTCCAACTGCTTGGTTCTGTCTGTTCGCCAGGTGTTTGTGCTTCGTGAACTGAGACTATTTTTGAGGCGCCTAAGAAACGATGCCTTGTGTCTGTTCCAACTGCTTGGTTCTGTCTGTTCGCCAGGCGTTCGTGCTTCGTGAACTGAGACTATTTTTGAGGCGCCTAAAAAACAATGCCTTGTGTCTGTTCCAACTGCTTGTTTCTGTCTGTTTGCCAGGTGTTTTCGCTGCGCAAGCTGCTTCCCACCACCACTGCAGAAGTCTATGTTTGAGGCGCCTCAACAAGAGACTCTACACTTGTGTCTTTTCCAAATGCGTTGCTCTCCTTGCAAATGTTCGTCAGGTGTTTGTGCTTCGCAAGCTGCTTCCCACCACCACTGCATATGACTTCAACATTCATGTAATGGTTACTTCCTCTCGTTCATATGGTTACTTTCATATACTGCTTCTTTTGCATTTATGCAATGCTGCTACAATACTCTGTTCTTTCGTTCCTTGCTTTGCCATGCTCGTCGAATAAACGTACCTTTTTCATCGATTTCTTTTTTCACAGTTCCTTCTGGTACCCTTGGCAGATAATGGACTTTGAGCCGGGGGAGTTTCTGACTGTGAAGGTGAGTTGAGTGTGCTTATTTCAGGTTAAGACCGATCCAGCTCTGTTGCAATAGTTTCGACACCCCATCTCGTCATCTTGAAGGAGACGCAGTGGCTTCCCCTCAATCAGCATGGCCTGCTGCTGGTGGAGGGTTGGGAAAGGTCTTTGAGTCGATGCAAAAGCCAACCCCCCCCACCCCTACCTCCCCGTTCCCCCCCTTCCCGCCCTGTCCTCCCCCCCCCTCCCCCCCCTCTCTCTATTCCTCTTCATCGCCGTATGCAGGAGGTGCACTACAACCAGCATGGCCTGCTGCTGTTGGAGGGTCGGGGAATTTACCGTCTGGCTGATAGCTGGTGAGACGAGATGTGGTGCATGTGTCGGTGTCCTGCGGCAAGGTATGGCAATAGGTGGTGTGGCAAAAGGTGGTGTGGCAATAGGTGGTGTGGCAATAGGCGGTGTGGCAATAGCTGGTGAGGCAAGGTGTGGCGCATGTATCAGTGTCTCGAGTCAAGATATGGCAATAGGTGTTTTGGGATGCAGTAGGGCGTAGCAACTAGGGATTGCAGCCACGAGGTGCACTACAACCAGCATGACCTGCTGCTGTTGGAGGGTCGGGGAATTTACCGTCTGGCTGATAGCTGGTGAGGCAAGATGTGGTGCATGCATCAGTGTCTTGTGGCAAGATGTGGCATGGCAGTAAGGCGTAGAAACTAGGGTTCACAAGCAGGAGGTGCATTACAACCAGCATGGCCTGCTGGTGAGTCGGGGAATGTACCGTCTGGCTGATAGCTGGTGACTCAATATGTGGCGCAAGTGAGGCGATAGGTGGTGTGGCAATCGGGTGTGTAGGTGAACCAGGGATTAATGGGTGAATCCAGGTAATGTGTCGTTTGGCTTTTCGGTGGCAAGGTGCGAACTTATGCGTGCGTACTTCCATGCAATGGTTGAGTTTTCTATCATTTTGTCTGTTAACATGGTTGAATTTCTGAGTTCCAAGGTTTTGCCTATTCACAACACTTATAAGGAGAATGGTACACCAAGCGTCAGCATGCTGAGCCTTTGTACTGGAGGTTTTTTACTCGGCATGCTCATCACACACATTACATCACACACAATCCATCACACACAACACATCGCACACATTACACACACGTTATGTAACAGTTAACTCGGAGTGTCACGTTTCTTTCATCGGCAGGTATCCTGTGCAAGCAGGCGATGCCATCTGGATGGCTCCTTTTGTTCCGCAATGGTGAGCTCATGTGATTTCCTTGTGCATAAGGGTAATTCTGAGTGCAGTTGTGGAAGCAGCAATTATTTTTTTATAACGTGCAACCTAACTTCTGTTTGTAACCTCTTGATGAACCTTCTTTTTTCTCTTTGCTCCTTTTGTGCCCATCAGGTATGCTGCACTTGGAAAGACCCGGTCAAGATATATCCTTTACAAGGATGTCAACCGTAACCCGCTGCTCCATCCATCGTGTTGATATGCCATCAAATGAACTTTATGAGATGATATGTGAGTCAAATCGAAAGGTTTCTTGCCCATGCCGAAATGGTGTTTGCGCCCTTCCCCTATCCTAGGTGGGATAATGGGTGTCATTTGAGAGAAATAAATAATGGGGGTGAAAACCGTACGGGCCTCGTTTTGCAGCAGAAATATTGACCAAATTGCAACTCGTGTTGAAATCCACAAATTAGATATTTTAGGGAAATGAGCAAATCCGTGATGTTCATAGCATTGTGAAGAAACCCTGACACCTGAATCCGTACGCTTGATGACTTGTTTGAAGGTGAAACACCAACGTGTCCTTAGCGTTAATGTTTGCTCCAAACCCAACTCAACCGCTTAATATTTTATATCCAACGTTCAGAAACATAAAGCACCTCAATTAACCGCAAAAATAAATGAACGCTTATGATCCGCCCAAAAACGGGATGCGCTCTACAGTAATATCTTCGAACAAACCAAACTCGTTCACACAAGCTCTCACGCACGTCAGCAAACTCCTGCCCTTCGTCCGCCTAACTGACGTGGTTCGCTACAGTTTTGTCACCTATCAGAACGTTTCGCCAGATTCAGCAGCGGCTCGCCTGAACATCTCACGTTTTTTCACGTGACACTGCAGCCGGGCTCTTGCGATGGCATGATGTGCAATTTCGTGATTTTCATTGCGAACCACGGAAACGCTTCGCACCCAATCAAACTCAATCTGACAGGTGGCATCAACGGTAAAGTCTCCCCCCTCTTGTCGCCCGTCTGTCACCCAGAGGCAGCAGCTTTCTCCCACTCTCAACTGTTTCTTCCCAATACCGTAATCAGCCGTTCCATGTATTTTGTCCACCACTCTAAAACACGAAGCACCCAGACTAAACCGCAATCTTCGGACTCCTGAGACCATCTACCCCACCACAACAACCCTCACAGGTTCAGCCTGTCTCATTGTCAACAACACAGTTCAGGTTTTACTCCGGTTCAATCTGTTCCGTTTCTTCATGGCTCCACCACACGTAGTCATGCAGCAGCACAACTGCCTTCTCTTGGTTTCTATCCCATGACTTGTTGTGCCTCACACCAATCGTGACTCGTGAGAGTCCCTAGCAGCAGCACCTTTTCCACTTGCGCTCCGGAACAATCCCACAACTGTACATCTGAAAATCCGGCTTGTTTTTTTTTTCCAACCCCTTGGACCCTCCGTTTGTCTGCTCCAGTAGTAACGCCTGCCATTCCTCCAAGTGGGTGGTCTTTCGTAAGGCCGCGGTACACGACCCTGTTCTCCAGGGTCAACGATAGCGAACCGCCGTGTTACCTTACCGAAAACCTCATCAGCCTACGAAAATCTCTTTGAAAACCCTGTAATCCCCGACCTCGAGGGTCCGCAATCCTGGAAAACAGGGTCGTGTACCGCGGCCTAAGCTTCACTCGACGTACAGTCTACTCTAACGGCCTGGTTTAGGTCTGAGAGACGTAACTTGCCATCGCTTGACTAAGTAGGAATTACTGTACACTGAACTGTCTAGTGCTGGCTGGCACGCTGGCAGCACAGCAGCAGTGACTCAGATTCATCTTCGGCAACCCCCCCTTCCATACCCGATCAGACCCCACGCGACCCTGAGACGACCCGAGTCGAGTCCGAGCACAGAATGCTGACGCCAGCTCCAAACCGGCGCGACCAATGGGAGACTCGAACGGAGGGGCTGACGCGGCGAGAGCCGTCTCACCTGGAAGCATTCGACGGGTCGGACCCAGGGATTGGATAGCAGCCCGATTTCACAACCTCGAGATTAACGAACTGCTGGCCGTCCGATATGGCCCAGTGCATGGAGCTGTAAGCGGATGGGCCGATCTGAGCCGTCACCACGATGTACACCGTATTGTATCGTGCGTCGCATGGTAGGCGGCGGCTGCGCGAATGTACGAGTGTAGCGGGGCTTCACCGCTTCAGCCTTCACAAAACCAGAAATGCTTCATGAGCCCTCCTGGCTCCAACACCCCGGGAAAATCATGCTCGGCCCAGACCAGCCAGACGAGAAGTCTCAGGCTTGAGTCTCGGCGGAGGAGGTGTGCGAAGGAAAGCCGACTAAACCTCCGAGTCGGAAGGCGACTCATCGTTTCTGAGCCCCATCACGAGGAGAGCGAGAGAGAGCAGACGATGGGAGCACCCCTCTGGAAGTACCATGTGGTACTGTACTCACCGTTTCTAGCTCCCCCGAAGGCAGTCCAAGATTTTCTGTGGAGTCCACGACGCATTCCTCAGAGGAAGAGATTCAGCGAAGCCAGATTCCTCCATCGGCTTCAGACTCTTTGCGTACAGAGCATTCCTCGAGATTTAACAGATTCCTCGAGATTTAGTAACAGTGTGTTACCCGCCCCCTAACCAGAACTGACCAAAATCTAGGCACTGAAGCTCTCTCAGGCCCTCGCAGCGCATCAGTCGCCTCTATCTTCTAAGTAGTCATCGAATGGCTTCGCCTGGAAGATTTTCAGGGTCGAAGCTTAATGGCGGAAGCTTCGGCTTACATCGATCGAGTCGGAGTCCACTTGTTTTTCTAGTCGCCTTTACCCTCTTTAATCAAGCCTACGCTCTGCCGTCCGATTTGGTCACACGGGATAGCAGCACACATCCTACAGTCACACTCCGCAATGACATTCTCCGAGAGGACCTCGCCAGCGCCTTCCTTTACTATCACAGGGACACTTGGCCGGATGAAATCAAGGTGCAATGCCAAGGCGCAATCTGCCCGGATTTGGGATCCTGCGGACCGAATTTCCCCAACCTTCGGGCGTGTCACCAGCCAGAAATCGCTGACCGGGAAACAGTTTTCCCCGGGCAGCCCGAGAACTGTCCAGGAAAAACGAAACTGACACCTGAAGAAGCCGCTGACGTAGCAGCTGCTGCTGCTATCGCCCCTGATACTGTAACAGGAAGAGCCGGAGCAGCAGGGTTACCATGCGCGCATGGGCACAGGCAGGACTACTTCTCTCACGAGCGTTACGTTGCGCAGTACTTTGAGATGAAGGACGTGCTTATGTCGGCATCGGGGCTGGTCTTTAACGAGTCCATGCACTTCAGCCGACAGGGATGCCATGCGGATGGGCAGGTGAGAAGGGCCTGGGCTGGGATGCTTGAACACGTTTGGGCTCAGGGTTGGCGAGATTCAAGAAATGCCATCTGAACACGTTGTCTTGCAAAAAGTTTTCAGATCATATTCTGACTCCCATTGCTCGCTTTCTGCTTCTGTATGTGCAGTTTCACTACAAGGCAAAAGACTCCAAGGTGATTGAATTGGACCAGCTGGTTTCATTTGTGTACCACCAAGGAGGCAACTACTACCACTCACTAGTCGACCTCCTCCCTCAATTCTACATCATGAGAGACTTCCTTAAAGCCCATCCCAACATCCCCATCGCGTTCAAAAAGACGCAGCTGGCCTTCTATCGCCGGGTTCTCAAGCATGTCATTGGCGTCATGCCTTACGAGTTTAACCTTCTCACCACTCAAGACCAGGATACCACCACTCTCTACCGAACCTCCAGGCTCTACCAACCCGTGTTTCAAACCTGCGGGAACCCGAGCCCGAGCCTCTGGCACACCCTCCGCTCCCGCTTCCTCCTCCCGCCCAATGGCCTTCCCATGTTCTCTGAAGCATGGGAAATCCGCAATCCCATCCAAGAGCTAGCTGGTGCTGCTGGTGCTAAGGGGAAGATCAAGTTGGGGTCCTGGAATAAGGAGCAGATGAGCAAACTGCCTCGTGATTGGGTGGTGGTGTTGGGGCAACGGCCAGGAAGTGACCGAAGGCGATTGGTCGGGTTTGACGCCCTTCTCTCTGCAATGGAACAGCTGTTCACACCAGAGAGAGTGGTGGTCTATGATGGGTCTATACCTATCTTGCAGGCCAAGGCACTGTTCAACCGGGGGGCTGCTTACGTGGCGCCACATGGAGCAGGGCTGGCTAATATGATCTTCATGCCATCTGGGTCGTCAGTTCTAGAGATTCGGCCAGACAGGCTTCCGAATGCGTGCTACCACCACCTAGCGAGTGCTTGTGATTTGCACTATTCCCTTGTCATGGGAAATGGGACGGTAAGCTCGCCACTTAGTTTTGATATGAGAGAGGTGAGAGTTGCTTTGGATGGTGTAGCAAGGCACACATTTGCTAGAGATGCTGAGCTTCAAAATTGGTAGAGGTGTCTACCACGTGTATATATGCTCCTCTATCTCTCTTTCTCCATACACGCCCAGCCACAAGATGTTTGTAACAATTTCATGATTAACTCAAAGCCTTATTCGAGAAGAAATGAGATTCATTTGTGAGATCGTTGTTCTGAAGGGTGTACAAGCTTACTATTTCGTACACATACTTCCCTCATTATTCGGGTTCCAACATCTTGGCGAATCCTCGTTTCCCGCCCTCTGACAGCATTGTGCCTCCCCCACTGCCATCCATGCTCTCACACCTCCTCCGCCATTCTCGCCATTGTTCCACCGCCGATTCACTAGCGGAGGTCTTATGCGAATCACGCCGCTACGAGAAGTCTGGCGCTATGGCTAGGGGAACCTGACACTTTAGAGTTGTAGCGAGGAGACGGAAGTAGCAAGGAGGCGGCTGTCACGAAGAGACGCTAGTCAGTCACGGAGAGTGTCAACATAAGAACTGGCTCACTGCAGGTGAAACCGATTGCTATTCGGTAGTGCGAGTAGACTCGTAGCGTTGAAGTAGCGACAGGTCGTGAGGAATTCGAAGTGGCTCGACAGGATTTTTTTAATGTTTCAGCCTTAACTCAGCACGAATCAATGCTGCTTTTTCTTAACGGCCTATCTCGTTACAATAACGTAGCAACTAAGGCTCCAGTCGAAAGCGGCTCTAAGTCTCGGCACCACCATTCCGGCAGCATCGCCGTCAGCATCACCGTCAGCTCCTCGTACTTGCCATCTGCTTTCTCCACCACACTGCACCGTTTCCCACTACCTTGTACTATTCCCGCTTTTCCCGTTCTGCGCCGTTTTTTCCCATTTTCACCATTTTCCCGCTTCTCGTCACCAAACTATTCTCACTGCTTCACACCGGCGCAGCATCATTCCCACTCCTCTGCTTCACACCAACGACGTGCATGGGTCTCTGCTCCTCGTCTCTGGACGACGATGCGCCAGCGCAGCACCATTACCCCCACTACCACTCCCAACCGACCTCAACCGCATCAACCTTCCCTCCCACCTCCTCGTACCACTTCTCTTACCCCTCCTTCCCCCCCTCCTCCTCCTCCTCCTCCGCTCTCCGACCGCCGCCTCCCCATCTCCCCACAGAGTGCATCGCTCTGATTCTCTCACACCTCCCTCCCGCCACCATCTGCCGCCTGGCGTCAGTCTCCAAGGCCTGGGCTGAAGCTGCTGACTCAGACACCTGCTGGACCCGCCTCCTGCCCCGCGCCTTCGCCCCTAAGCTCTTTCCCGACTGCTCTTCCAAGGTTTCCCTCAACCCCAAGGTTGTTCTGACTCCCTTATCTGCTGATTCCTCTCCTGAGCTAATTCTCAGCTCTCCCGCATCGTCTGCGTCCTCTCCTCTCCCCGGTGTTGGTAACGTCACCTCGCGCGGGCTTGTTGCGGGATCTTATCCGCTCGCCTCGCATCTGCTGAAGTATGACCCTCTGCGTCCAGGTTCAACGAATCCGGGTCAGCTGCTTCCAGGCCCATCGAATCCTGCTTCCCTGGCGTCTGACCCTCTGAAGCGGCCCTCCAGCAAGGTGCTTTTCCAGGCGTTATGCCAGGGCGTTCTGCTAGAAGGAGGGAGGCTCCAGGTGAAGATAGACCCAGGCACAGGCCTTGTCAGGGCAGCCCTTAGCGCCACTGAAGCCATGGGGATTGCATGGGGGAGCAATGCTAGCTACTGGCAGCAAGTGGAGCTCAAAGGCTCGGTATTCCCTAGGGTTGCCCATCTAGCTGCTGTCAGCACTTTCGATTTGATTGGGCGATTTACCCTACCGCTTCCGGTGCGGTCGTGTAGATATGAGCTGTGGTGGAGGGTAGCAAGGGATCCTACCCTAGGGGAAACCTGGATGCCTCGAGACGTTGTGTTTGAGTGGCCGACTGCGCTGGTTACCAGCAATGTGAAGGTTACGGGTCCGGGATTATCGGAATCGGTAGAGATTCAGCGGCGGGTGGTGTTTAATGATGCGACGTTGCCGGGTGCTGGGTGGACCGAGGTTGGGGTGGGGGTGGTGGTGCTTTGGCCGGGGAAGAAAGGGGGAGAGTTGGTGGAGACAGAGTGGGAGGTGAGGTTGCATGAGGTGGAGTCAGGGATGTGGAAAAGTGGCTTGTATGTAGATTGCTTCCTGTTGAGGGAAGCTCCCATGTGATATGGGTGGGAGTGTCATTTGGTGGCAGTACCCATCCCATTGGGGTCTGTCTTGGACCATACCGTATCATCATCCAATGGGTGCATCTGCTTTGGTGTAAATAATTGCAGCGGTCGAGAGTAGAAGCACCTCGTAACCCGGTTGTCATCACCTTTGTATTTGTTGCAATGTATGGTCATCATCATGCAAATGTGCAACCTTCGTCTAGTGGTGTTCCATAAACGTGTTTGTCTTTTGTCTGGTAAGGAAGCCTTTACGTTATAAAGCGGATATCCGCGGCTACCTGTTGCAAATTCCCGCCAAGCTTGTTGAATTGTCGGCTCGGCAGCAGGCAGCCCCACCTCGGCTGGTTGCGGATTCCAGATTCTAGAATCACGAACCGTGAAAAAATCAGGGCCAAGTTCAGGTAGACGGGTTTCAAAGCCTTGCATGATCATTTTCTTCAGCCGTTTCCCCTAGCTAGCTCTAGGTTATGATCGCCACCCTGCCTGCACTCCTCAGCATCCCGCCGGCTTACGGAAGTGTTCACGGTGACGAATACGGCGAGTTTTAATAATCACCCAGTCCATGATCATTCGCTGCATTCGTTTTCCCAACATCCTCTTTAAGCATAGCTCTAAGGTCGTCTTTGCTCTGCTCTCGCGATCTGCACGACACACATCCGCGTTATTAGCTTCTCCGCGCTTTTGTTCCGTTGATTCACTATTTCCTTTCCAAACTGTAGCGTTCGCGGGCAGTGTGCGACCTATATCGCGTAAGAACGTTCCCTCGACTGGAGCTAGGGAAATCGTCCACGACGCTGAATCCCCCGCATTCGTCCCAAGAGCTGAGAAGCCTAGCGGATTTCGAGAATCTAGGGCATTCAGGGAATCTAGGGAATCTAGGGAGTCGAAGGAATCTAGGGAGTCGAAGGAATCTAGGGAGTCGAAGGAATCTAGGGGATACGGGGAATCTCTGCACGGTGCTGAAACATCGGCGCGCGCCATGATGAGGCGAGGCAGGGGGCCCAACCGCCAGAGACGGGGCGGCCGCGGAAGCGGAAGAGGTGGCGGAAGCGGTGGAGGGGAAGGCGGAAGGGGCGGAGAAGAGGGCGGAAGGGGCGGCGGAGGAGGCGGAAGGGGCGGAGGAGGAAGAAGCGGAAGGGGCGGCGGAGGAGGGGGCGGGGAGCAGCGATGGTGGGATCCGGCGTGGCGCGCGCAGCGACTAGCGGCGATGGGGAGGGAGGTGAGGGCGAGGGTAGTAAGTGAGGAACGGGATGAGGGGGGGAAGAGGGATGAATGAAGAATGATTGGCGGCGATCGGGGAGGGAGGTGTGGCGAGCGAGGGACGGACGAGGGATGGACGAGGGACGGACGAGGGACGGACGAGGGACAAACGAGGGATGGACGAGGGATGGACGAGGGATGGACGAGGGATGGACGAGGGATGGACGAGGGACGGAGGCGAGGACGAGGGACGGAAGAGGGATCCACACGTTTCCCCCTGTTCCATAGCCAAGAGAGCCCCTATCGACAGTGGGCATAGCAGGACGCGGAGGCGATAACCTGCTTTCTCATGCTTTTGCTATCCTCGTCCCCACCCCCACCCCCATCCCCATCCCCATCCCCCTCCCCCTCCCCCCCATTCTATTCTCAGAGAGGTCCAGCAAAGCAAGTGGACGGCGCAGCATGGGCGGCACGGTTCCGGAAGCTAGCAGCAGGGGGTGGCGCAGTGGGGAGCGGAGCAGCAGGGGGTGGCGCAGGGGGGAGTGGCGCATCAGGGAATGGGGCAGTCGAGAGCGGATCAATGGGGAGCGGAGCAGCAGGCGCGCAGCAAGTGGGGAGTCTTCCAGAGGAGATAGTGATTCGCGAGAACTACGGGAGGGAGGGGACGGAGCAGCTGCAAGTCTTGGCAGAACAGGCAGGGCTGTACTTGTGAGTGCTGTGGTGATCGGTGCTTACGGTGTGACTTGTACATTCGTGCTTGAACGAGTGTGGCAAGCGGGGAGCTTCCCAGAGGAGATAGTGATTCGCGAGAACTATGGCAGGGAGGGGACGGAGCAGCTGCAAGACTTGGCAGAGCAGGCAGGGCTGTACTTGTGAGTGCATGAGTGAGGAGGTGTAGGTTCGTGCTCGAACAGGTGCAGCTTCTGGCATAGGAAGCAGGGCTGTACTTGTGCGTGCAGGGCGAGCCTGAACCTTAAACCTCAAACCCCAAACCCAGAGCAGGCAGGGCTGTACGTCCGACTTACATGAGGTGATCGTGTGGGGATATTTGGGTGTGGGTGTAGAGGGATGCTCGTGGGTGCAGATGAATTTGTGATTTGCTATAACTGGGAGGGAGGAAACAGAAGAACCGAGATATCTGGCTGTCTGGCATAGCAGACAGGAGTCCGGACTGTGCGTGTAAGACCAGAGCTGTTGCTGAATTTGAAAATCTGCAACAGCCATATTTCTAGGAGCTTCGCAGAGCAGGCAGGCTGTTCTTGTGAGCTGAATGGGGTGTTCGTGTGAACAAAAAGAATGCTTAAACCCTCAGAATTCTCATTATTCTTCTCCTTTCCATTCCCTCCCTGGCAGCCAGACATACGTTCTTGTGATCTGAATGGGGTGCTTGTATGAGCAAAAAATTGCTTAAACCCAAACCTCGAACCCCCCAAAAGCCTCAGCTGATTTTCTCATTATTCTCCTTCCTTGCAGCCAGACGCATGGCAAGGGAACTGGAACAGTCGTGGTGGCCAACAGAGTGCCGCTGCCAGGCTACCCTCTGAGGTATAGCTTTGCGCAAGAGTCTCTTCTGCTCCTTCTTTTCCTCTCCTTGCAGCCAGACGTATGGCAAGGGAACCGGGACAGTTGCAGTGGCCAGCAGAGTCCCGCTGCCGAGCTACCGGGCGGACTTGGATGACAGACACGGGCGGTCCGAGCGACAGGTGAGCGAATTCTCCATAGGTGTCACGGTCAGAGCGACAGGCTCCCTCCCCTCCTACCTGTTCTTCTCCCCTACCTGTTCTTAAAGCCATGCGGCCCTCGTTTGCCATCCCCCATTCCCATCCACCCCCTCCCCCCTCCCCCAAAGATCACATGGTCCCTTCTGACCCCCACCAACACGGCTCAAGCCTCCTCGCCTTTTTATAAGGCGCCTAAGAAAACACACCTGTTGCAGCGCCTACATATCCACACGTGTTTTACCATCTCCCCCATCCCCCCCTCCCTTGGTACCTTCCCACACAGATCACAGTCTCATCCGACCTTCATCAACACGTCTCAAACCTCCTCGCCCCCTCCTCCTCCTCCTTTGCCCCTGGGGCACCCACACCAGCACCACCAGCAGCATCAGCAGCAGCAGGAGCAGCACCAGGAGCACAGAGAGGGGCCTCGGTTGCTGCAACGCCGTCACAGTTCGCTGCTTCAGCAGCGGCTAATGCGCTCAGAATACAGAGCGAGGCGTTGAGAGCCGAGCAGAACAGGCGAAAGGTAACCTTTTCAAGCTTACTCTGGCAGCAGCACGTGCCCGTAGGGTTAGCTCTACTTTAGCCTCAAGGTTAGCTCTACTTAGAGTAGAGAGCCGAGCAGAACAGGCGAAAGGTAGCAACCTCTGCTGGCTCCGGCAGCAGCACATGCTTCCCCTACACACCCACCCTAACCCACACACAACACCACCATCACATCCCCATCCCCATCCCCATCCCCATCCCCATCCCTTAACACCCTTTTCTGGCCCCCTCCCTTCCTCCACCAACAGTCCCCCCATGCAGTGCAGACCATGAGGGCTCAGAGGCAACGACTCCTATTGGACTGCTGCTCCCATGTCGGCCGTCATGCAGTGGGAGCAGCTGCTGCTGCAGTGATTAGTCCCTCCCTCACACCACCATCCGCTCACACCCCTCCCGGACCCAATCCTCCCCTCCACGGCAACAGTCCTCCCCTGTAGTTCAAGCCACGAGGGCTCAGAGGCAACGACCCCCATTAAAAAGACCTCCCGCCCTCATCCACCCCCACCCACCCCCTGCTGCCGTCCTCTCTCCTGCCACCCTATGACCACGCCCCTGCAGTCATCCCCTGCGGTTCAAGCCATGATGGCTCAGAGGCAGCAGGTTCCTTCGATCGACCTGACACCTGCCTTTTCCCCCTCTCCCCTGCCTCCTTGCACTCTCCTGCCACCCTATGCGTGCACCCAGGAGTGCGTGCCATGTTGGCTCAGAGGCAGCGACTGCCAAGGAGCTGACACCTCCCTTCCCCCCCTCCCCCCTACCTCCTCGCACTCTCCTGCCACCTTACTTACGACCACGCCCCTGCAGTCATCCCTTGCGGTTCAAGCCACGAGGGCTCAGAGGCAGCAGGTTCCTTCGATCGACCTGACTCCCACCGTTCCCCCTCCCACCTGCCTCGTTCCAATCTCCTGCCACCCTACGACCACGCCCCTGCAGTCATCCCCTGCAGTGCAAGCCATGATGGCTCAGAGGCAACGGCTACCTGCCTTCAAGCAGCGGGAGGAGCTGCTGCGAGCTGTGCAACAGAGCCAGGTGATTGCAGCAGAGCCAGGTGACTACAACAGAGCCAGGTGTTTGCAACAGGGCCAGGTGATTACAACAGAGCCATGCGATTGCAACAGATCCAGGTGGTTGCAACAGAACCTAATGTTGAGCAGGTATGATATGTTAGTCTGGCATGCTGTGTTTTCTCCCTCCAGAATTCTTTGCCTTGTGTTTGTCCTCATTCGCGTCCTGGTGACGCCGCAATGTGTCCGAGTAATTGAACCTGCTTTTGAGTCGACAGAAAGGGAGTCTCCCTCCAGCATGCGTTGCCTTGTATTTGTCCCCATTCGCGTCCTTGTGGTGCCGCAATGCGTCCTATAAAGTGAGATAGAGGCAGGCAGGGGCGTGCACACAATGATCATCTGCACGCAGCCCAGGCGGATATCGGCCACCTCCGTGGCGGGGAGAGTGGCGATGGCTCACCCGTGTGTGCAATGAGTCTATTTTTGGGTCGACTCACTAATAGATTCATTACTCCGTGGTGGGGAGACTGGCGATGGCTCATCCATTTATGCACTCCTAACCCTTTCCTTTCCTTGCTTTAACTTGCAGGTGCTTGTGGTGTCTGGCGAGACAGGCTGTGGCAAAACCACCCAACTGCCTCAATTCATCCTGGAGAGTGAGATCGACGCGGGGAGGGGCGCGCAGACAATGATAATCTGCACGCAGCCGCGGCGGATATCAGCCACGTCTGTGGCGGGGAGAGTGGCGGCGGAGAGAGGGGAGGAGGTGGGGGGGAGCGTGGGGTACCAGATCAGGATGGAGAGCCGACGAGGGCCCAACACCCGGCTGCTGTTCTGCACCACTGGCGTGCTGCTGAGACGACTGGTACGTGCTTAGAAGTCTGGAAAGGGTTGGAAGCATCAGAGGTGGGGGGAGCATGGGGTACCACATAAGGATGGAGAGCCGATGAGGGCCCAACGCCCTACTGCTGTTCTGCACCACTGGCATGCTGCTGAGATGGCTGGAGAGTGCTGGGCTCAAGTCACACCAATGACAGAGGTGGGTGTGGGATGCCAGGTAAGCCCAGGCGGATATCGGCCACCTAAGCCGCGGGGCGAGTGGCGGCGGAAAGAGGCGAGGACGTGGGGGGGAGCGTAGGGTACCAGATAAGGCACCGGTGGACGGTGGACGGTGTACACCCATCGGCGGTGGACGGTGGACGGCGTAAACCGGTGGACGGTGGAAGGTAGACGGTGGATGGTGGACGGCGTCCACCGGTGGGCGACGCACACCAGTAGACGGTGGACGGTGTACACCGCTAAACGATGGACGGTGGACAATGAACGGTGGACGGTGGAAGGTGGATTGTGTACACCGTTGGTCGGTGGACGGTGAATGGTGTATTCCGGTGGACGATGTACACGGGTGGACGGTGGACAGTGGACGGTGGACAGTGGACGGTGGCCGGTGGACAGTGGACGGCGTACACCTGTGGATGGTGTATAGTCCACCGGTTGACGGTGGACATTGGACGAACTGCACTAGTGGATGGTGGACGGTGGACGGTGCACACCGGTGGACGGTAGACGGTGGACATTGGTGGACGGTGTACACTGGTGGACGGTGGACGGTGTACACCGTTGGCTTGTGGACGGTGAAAGGTGTACACCGGTGGACGGTGGACGATGGACGCCGTCCACGAGTGGACGGTGGACGCTGGTGGACAGTGGACAGTGGACGGTGGTCGGTGGACAGCGTCCACCGGTGGACGGTGGGTGGTGGACAATGGACGGCGTCCACCGGTGGACGGTGGACGGCGTCCACTACTGGATGGTTGACGGTGAATGGTGGACGGTGTCTACCCGCGGGCAGTGGATGGAGTACACCTGTGGACAATGGATTTCGCCACCGGTGGACGGTGGAAGATGGACAGTGGACGGTGGACGGCGTTCACCGGTGGACGGTCTGCACCGGTGGAAGGTGTACACTGGTGGACGGTGGACGGCGTACACTGGTGGACGTTGGACAGTGGACACCGGTGGATGGTGGATGACGGTGAATGGTGTACAGTGGTGGACGGTGTACACCGGTGGATGGTGGATGGTGTACACCGGTGGACGGTGTACACCGGTGGATGGTGGACGGTGGACGGTGGACAGTGTAGACCGGTGGACGGTGGACGTTGGACACCTGTGGACGGTGGACGGGGTACACCGGTGAATGGTGGACTGTGGACGGCGTCCACCGTTGGACTGTGGACGGTGGACACCGGTGGACAGTGGACGGTGGACGGTTGACGGTGGACACCGATGGACGGTGGACGGTGAACACCGGTGGACGGTGGACGGCGTCCATCGGTGGATGCTGGATAGTGGTCGGTGGACGGTGGACAGTGGACGGTGGTCGGCGGACGGCATCCACCGGTGGACGGTGGATGGTGGATGGTTTACGGCGTCCACCAGTGGACGGTGTGCACCGGTGGATGGTGGACGGCGTCCACTAGTGGATGGTTGACGGTGAACGGTGGACGGTGGACGCTGGACAGTGGACACCGGTGGACGGTGGACGCCGGTGGATGGTATACTCTGGTGGATGGTGGACGGTGTACACCGGTGGACTAATGACGGTGGACGCTGTACACCGGTGGATGGTGTACACCGGTGGACGGTGGATGGTGTACACCGGTGGACGGTGGATGGTGTACACCGGTGGACGGTGTACACCGGTGGATGGTGGACAGTGGACGGTGGACAGCGTTCACCGGTGGACAGTGTAGACCAGTGGACGGTGCACAGGGAACACTGGTGAACGGTGGAGTGTGGACGGCGTCCACCAATGGACAGTGGACGGTAAACACCGGTGGACGGTGGACACCGGTGGACAGTGGATGGTGGACGGCGTCCACCGGTGGACGGTGGATGGTAGAAACCGGTGGACGATGGAAGGTCTACACCGGTAGACGGTGGATTGCGATCACAGTTGGAGGGTGGACGCTGGACGGTGGACACCGGTGGATGGTGGACGTCATACATCGGTGGAGGGTGGACGGTGGACGGTGTGCACCGGTGGAGGGTGTGCACTGGTAGACGGTGGAAGGGGGACACTGGTGGACGGTGGACGATGGACGGTGGACACCAGTGGACGGAGTACACCGATGGACGGTGTACACTGGTGGACAGTGGACGGTGGACGGTGTACATCGGTGGGCGGTGAACACGGGTGGACGGTGGACAGTGGACGGCGTCCACCTTGTGGACGATGTACGCCGGTGGACGGTGTGCACTGGTGGACACAGGACGGTGGACAGTGTACAACAGTGGACGGTGGACGGCGTCCACCGGTGGACAGTGGAATGCGTCCACTAGTGGATGGTGGACGGCGGAAGGTAGACGGTAGAATCCAGTGGACGGTGGACGTTGGAGTGTCATCCCCGGTGGACGGTGTACACCAGTGGACAGTGGTCAGTGGACGGCGTCCACCGGTGGATGGTGGACGGTGGACGGCGTCCACCAGTGGAAGGTGGACGGTGGACGGTTGATGGTGGACACCGGTGGACTGTTGACGCTGGACGGCGTCTACCGGTGGACAGTTGTCGGTGGACGGTGGTCGGTGGACGGTGGTCGGTGGACGGCGTCCACCGGTGGACGATGGATGGTGTACGGTGGATGACGTCTAGCGGTGGACGGTGTACACCGGTGGACAGTGGATAGTGTATACCCGTGGACGGTGTACACCGGTGGATGGTGGATGGTGTACACTGGTGGACGGTGGATGGTGGATGGTGTACACCGGTGGACGGTGGACGGTGTACACCGGTGGATGGTGGATGGTTTACACCAATGGACGGTGGATTGCGTCCACCGGTGGACGGTGGATGGTGGATGGCGTCCACCGGTGGAGGGTGTACACTGGTGGACTGTGTACACTGGTGGATGGTCTATGTCGGTGGACGGTGGACGGTGGAAGGTGTACACCGGTGGGCAGTGGACGGTGGACGTCGTACACCAGTGCATGGTATACACTGGTGGACAGTGGACGGTGGACAGTGGACATTGGTGGACGGTGTACACCGGTGGACCATTGACGGTGGACGTTGTACACCGGTGCACGGTGGATGGTGTACACCAGTGGACGGTGGACACCGGTGGACGGTGGACACTGGTGGACGGCGTCCACTAGTGGACGGTGGACAGCGGTGGACGGTGGTCAGCGGTGGACGGTGTGCACCGGTGGACGGTGGACGGTGGACGGAGTACACCGGTGGACGGTGGATGGTGGATGGCGTCCACCGGTGGAGGGTGTACACCGGTGGACTGTGTACACCGGTGGACGGTCTACGCCAGTGGACGGTGGATGGTGGACGATGTGCACCAGTGGGTGATGGACGGTGGACGTTGTACACTGGTGCATGGTGTACACTGGTGGACGGTGGACAGTGGACACTGGTGGATGGTGGACGGTGTACACCAGTGGACAATTGATGGTGGACGTTGTACACTGGTGCACGGTGGACGGTGGACAGTGGACACCGGTGGACGGTGTACACCGGTGGACCATTGACGGTGGACGTTGTACACCAGTGCACGGTGGACGGTGTACACCGGTGGACGGTGGATGGTGTACAACGGTGGAGCTGGACGGCGTTCACCGGTGGACGATGGACGGTGGACGGTGGACAGTGGACGGCGGTGGACGGTGTACACCGGTGGATGGTTTTCACTGATGGACGGTGGATGGTGTACAGCGGTGGACAGTGGACGGTGGACGATGGACGGTGGACGGCGGACGATGCACGGTGGACGGCGGTGGACGGTGGTGGACGGTGTACACCGGTGGACGATTTACACCGATGGATCTTGGACGGTCGAAGGTGTACACCGGTGGACGGTGGACGGCGTAAACCGGTGGACGGTTTTCACTGGGGCACGGCGGACGGTGGACACTGGTCGACAGTATACACCGGTGGACGGTGGATTGTGGACGGTGGAAGGTGGATGGGGTCCACTGGTGGACGGTGGACGATGGACGGTCTACACTGGTAGACAGTGGATGGTGTACACGGGTGGACGGTGGACGGCGTTCACCGGTGGATGGTGGACGGTGGACGGTGGACGGTGGACACCGGTGGACGGTGTGCACTGGTGGACATTGGATGGTGGATGGTGGACGGTGGTCGGTGGACGGCGTCCACCTTGTGGACGATGTACGCCCGTGGACGGTGTACACCGGTGGACGGTGGATGGTGGGCGGTGGATGTTGTATACTCGTGGAAGGTGGACGGTGTACACCGGTGGACGGTGGACGGCGTCCACCGGAGGACGGTGGACGATGGACGGTGGACGACGGTGGGCGGTCTACACTGGTGGACGGTCGAAGGTGTGCACGGGTGGACGGTGGATGGTGGACGGCGGAAACGGGTGGACGGTTTACACCAGTGCACGGTGGACGGTGGACGCCGGTGGATGGAGGAAACCGGTGGACGGTTGACTCCGGTGGACGGTGGACACCTGTGGACGGTGGACACCAGTGGACAGTGTACACCGGTGGATAGTGGACGGTGGACGGTGTACAGTGGACGGTGGACACCGGTGGACGGTGGACGGTGTACACCAGTGGACGGTGGACGGTGTACACCGGTGGACGGTGGACACCGATGGATGGTGAACGGTGAACGGTGGACGGCGTCTACTGGTGGATGGTGGACGGTGGACGGTGTACACCGGTGGACGGGGGACGGTCTACACCGGTGGACGGTGGACGGCGTACACTGGTGGATAGTGGATGGTGGATGGTGGACGGCGGACGGTGTACGGCGTCTACCGGTGGACGGTGGACGGCGTCCACCGGTGCTGTGGACGGTGAAAGGTGGCCGGCGTACACGAGTGGACGGTGGATGGCGTCTGGCGGACGGTGGACGGTTGACGGTGGACACCGGTAGACGGTCGATGGTGGTTGATGTCCACCGGTGGACGGTGGACGGCGTCCAGCGGTGGACGGTGCACACCGGTGGATGGTGGATGGTGGACGGTGGATGTTGGACGGTGGACAGTGGACAGTGTACACCGGTGGAAGGTGGACGGTGGATCGCGTACACCGGTGGACGGTGGATGGTGGACGGTGTACGGCGTCCACCAGTGGACGTTGGATGGCGTCCACCGGTGTGGTGGGCGGTGGGCGGTGGATGGCGTACTCTGGTGGACGGTGGACGGTGGACACAGGTGGACGGTCGACGGTGGATGGTGGACGACGTCCACCAGTGGATGGTGGATGGTGGTCGGTGGACGGTGTCCACTGGTGGACGATGGATGGCGTCTACCGGTTGTTGGTGGACGGTGGACAGTGGACGGCGTCCACAGGTGGACGGTGGACAGTGGACGGCGTCCACCAGTGGACGATGGACGGTGGGCGGTGGGGGGTGAGGCGTGCTGTGCCCCTCTCCCTTTAAATCTTCCTCCCCCTCTCAGGTCCAAGAACCAGACCTGGCCGGGGCGTCGCACGTGATGGTGGATGAACCAAGACTTGCTGGTTCTTGCCCACAAGGAGCTGCTTCCCCGTCGCACCCCCACTCCCTGTGCAGGTTCAAGAGCCCGACCTAGCCAGCGCGTCCCACGTGATGATGGATGAGACCCACGAGTGCGGCATGATCGATGACTTGCTGCTCAACATCATCAAACGCCTCTTGCTCTCTCCCTCCTTCCCCCACACTTCACACACTGTCCAGGTCTAAGAGCCAGACATAGCAGGATTGTCCCACGTGATGGTGGATGAGATCCACGAGTGCGGCATGAACATAGACCTCCTCATCCTCCAGAACCTGCTGCCCCCCTGTCCCTCTCCCCCAATTCCTACACACACACACAGGTCCAAGAACCAGACCTAGCAGGGGTGTCCCACGCGATGATGGATGAGATCCACGAGCGCGGCATGAATGAGGACTTGCTGCTTGTTGCCTCAGATGCCTCCTGCTTTCCCTCTCTCCCTCTGTCTCTCCCTCACACACCCACACCTACAGGTCCAAGAACCCGACCTGGCAGGGGTGTCTCACGTGATGGTGGACGAGATCCACGAGCGCGGCATGAACGAAGACTTTCTCCTCATCATCCTCAGGGACCTGCTGCCCCGCCGCCCGGACCTCCGCCTCGTGCTCATGAGTGCCACCATCAACGCGGAGCTCTTCTCAGAGTACTTCAACAAGGCGCCCATGGCTCATATTCCGGTGAGTGGTGGCGCTGGTGGGTTGACTCACTGGGCCATGTGCTCATGAGCGCTACCGTCATCATCCTCAGAGATCTGCTGCCCAGCCTGTTCAGACCTGACCTGCTGCCCGGACCCGCGCCTCGTGCTCATGAGCGCTACTGTCAACGCAGAGCTGTCGTCCGAGTAAGGCCCCCATGGCTCTTTTTCTTGTGAGTTCAGCAGCCTTCTGTGTGCATATAGCATGCTCATGTGAATGCCTGGAGCTCATGAGCGCTACCATCAACTCGGAGCTCTTCTCAGAGTACTTCAACAAGGCTCCGATGGTGCACATCCCAGTGAGTTTTGGGTTGAGGGAAGGAGTGTGACTTGCTGTGGTGAGGGTGCATGCCTCGTGCTCGTCCCTCCTCGGACTCTCCCTGAATACGGTTTTTGAGGCGCCTAAAAAATTGACAAGGCCGAACTGGCTCCTTTTCTGTCGCAGAAGTGAAACGTAGGTTTGACCGCGACAGCGAATGAATCTAACTCCCAACAACTAGAAAGTTTTGAGGCGCCTCACAACTAGAATGAATCTAACTCCCAACAACTAGAAATGTCTAAATGAGTGAGTGAAAGCAGGGATTGGGGAAACGAGGATGCATAGTCCGTCAATATTCTGGTGAATGGTAGCTCGTGTTGTATTAGCGTTTCATCCTCCTCCTTTCAACCCGCCCATCCCGTTTACTTTTAGGTTTTCCCGTTTAACTGTCCCTGGCGCACGTGTTGGAGCGACTTTTGAGGCGCCTCAAAACTCCCGTTTAACTGTCCCTAGTGCACATGTTGGAGCGCACCTGTGTGCACACCAGGCACTTCTAAGCCTCTCCCCTCCCCCCATCTCCCCCTCTACTGTCCCTGATGGGAATGCGCATGCGCTCCGACACGTGCTCTAATTACAGCTGCTGCACTGGGTGGGTGAAACCCTGCAGAGCCAGCAGGGAGGGGGCTTCTCGTGAGGAGGAGGGGGAGGGAGGAGGGGATGCAAGTGCACAGACACAGACATTCTCAACTCGTTTTTGCTGTGTCAATCCCCGCTTTCCCACTTCCTTCACAGGGTTTCACCCACCCCGTGCAGCAGCTGTTTCTGAGCTGCAGCTAATCGTGGCACGCACTAATCTGCACTTCTAATCCTATACTATCTCCTTGCTCCTGCGTCCGCCCCTATTTCTTCCTGCAGGGTTTCTCCCACCCGGTGCAGCAGCTGTGCCTGGAGCACGTTTTTAAGCACACTAGTGTGCACACCAAGCACCTCGTCTCATAACCCCACCTCTAAGCCTCGCCCCTCCCCCCATCTCCCCCTCTTCTCTGCAGGGTTTCACCCACCCCGTGCAGCAGCTGTTCCTAGAGCACGTGTTGGAGTGCACGCGCATTCCCATTGCCCCCAGGGATCTATTCTCGCGCCACCACCTCGTCTCCTCCCTTTCTCCATCAACCCGTGACTCTCCTTTACCTTCCTCAGGGTTTCACTCATCCTGTGCAACAACTGTTCCTGGAGCACGTGTTGGAGCGCACGCGCATTCCCATCAGGGACCAGGGGCAGCAGGGCAGGGGGGTCTCGAGAGGAGGGGGGGGTGGAGGGCGGGGGAACGGGAGGGGGAGAAGGGAGAGGACGGCAAGTGTGGCCAAGAAAGACCCCGTGTCAGACGCCTGGGAGGTGAGAACGGGTGGAAGGAAGGGAGAGAGCATGGGAGGGGGAGACGGACGGGAGGGGAAGCCAAAAAGGATCATTTTTCAAAGGCATGAGAAGCATGGTTGACTATGGGGGGTATTTCTTTCAGGCAGGTGAAGGGGAGGTTGAGGGGAAGGGGAGAGGACATGGGAGGGAGCAAAGGGGGAGGATGGTCAACAAAGGCCTCCTCGCACTATTCAGCCTTCAGCTGCCTCACTCAGGAGAGCCTCAACACCTGGTCGCCAGACAAGCTAGATATTGATCTAGTGACAACAGTGGTAGAGCATATCTGTTGGAATGAAGCTGAGTTTCCTAACCATATACTTGATTATTTTTCCCCTGCAGGACCTCGACGTATGGTCGCACTATTCAGCCTTCAGTCGGCCCACCCAGGAGTCCCTCAACACGTGGTCGCCTGACAAGCTAGACATTGATCTAGTGGCGTCAGTGGTGGAGCATATCTGCCGCAATGAGGCTGAGGGGGCGGTGCTGGTTTTCCTGACCGGCTGGGACGAGATTTCGAAGCTCCTGGAGGCACTCAAGGGTATGCCTGTCGCTGGGCAGCCGTCGAAAGTTTTGCTGCTGCCCCTGCACGGGTCCATGCCGACGATTCACCAGAAGGAGATTTTCAACCGACCTCCTCCTGGAGTCAGGTGGGCTTGTCCATTCATGCAAGCATATTAAAGCCCACCTGACAATGATGCACGCATTTTAAAGAAACGATGCACGCATATTAAAGAAAACGATGCACGTGTATGCATCTCTGGGGCTGGGGCACGTGCAGTCCTTCCTGTCCAAAGCCATGCAACCACCCGCCGGAGCCCCGTGCAGTAAGTTATGAGAGGGGTGTACGGTGTATCTCAGAACGAGATGCTGAAGATCTCTCAGAACTTGAGGATCCTCAAGACGAGCCCTTTTAGGAGCCGGGAGCCGGTTTGTACATCAAGGTGGGGGGTGCGCAGCCGGGAGTTGGTTTCCACCTTTCCCGTGTCTTCTCTCCCTCCTTGTCTTCTCTCCCTCCTTGTCTTCTCGCCCCCTCCCCTCCTCTCGTCCCCCCAGGAAAGTGGTGCTCGCAACCAACATAGCCGAGACCAGCATCACCATCGACGACGTCGTGTATGTCGTCGACTGTGGAAAGGCCAAGGAAACTTCCTACGACGCCCTCAACAAGCTCGCCTGCCTGCTCCCCTCCTGGGTCTCCAAAGCCTCGGCCCACCAGAGGAGGGGTCGGGCGGGGCGCGTGCAGCCGGGAGTTTGTTTCCACCTCTACCCGAAGGTGGTCTACGATTCGCTGCTGGAATTTCAGCTGCCCGAGATCCTGAGGACGCCGCTCCAGGAGCTGTGTCTGCAGATCAAGCACCTGGGGCTGGGCCACGTACAGTCGTTCCTGTCCAAGGCCATGCAACCACCGGAGCCTCTAGCAGTAAGCACCTGGGATGTATGAGCCCCTAGCGACTGGTTGTATGAGTGTAAGTGTCTGCAGATCAAGCACCTGGGGCTGGGCCACGTGCAGGAATTTCTGTCCAAAGCCATGTAACCACCGGAACTGCTGGCAGTAAGTGGGGAGACTTGTTGTGAGTTTGTAGGAGATGGCATCGAAATCGCTTCTTGTGGGAATAATATGAGGAATTCAGAGGAAGCCAGAGCATAATATCCCCTCCCTTTCAGTATCCACTCCCTCTGCTCGCCGTTCTCACTGCCTCAGGCGCAAAACGCACTGGAAACCACTGCAGCCACTCACCCACCCCCCTGACGATCAACTCACCTCCCTCGGTTGCCACCTGGCTGCCCGTCACTTGTTGCCAATCACTTGCTGCAAGATCCCTACTCAATCACACCCCCGCCAAACCCCCCCCTCCCCCCATTTTAACTCCCTTCAGGTGCAAAACGCGGTGCAGCTGCTGGAAACCATCGGTGCCCTCACCCCTGATGAGCAACTCACCTCCCTCGGGTGTCACCTGGCCGCCCTCCCTGTGGAACCCCGCATTGGAAAGGTGGGCGAATGGGGTGTTGTGTGGTGATGTTGTATGTTCACCTACTTTCAGTTATCACCTCCCTGTGGTGTCACCTGGCCGCCATCCCTGTGGAACGCCGCATTGGAAAGGTGGGTATATGCGGAGTGAAGATGTCATAGGCTAAGTGAAATACACTCGCACAGCCAAGCGTATGTGCGCTGGCGTATATATGCGATACGCAGTATGCTAAGGTAGTGCGCAATACGCTTGCGTATTTCTCGGCGGTCTGCTTGGCGAGAAATACGCAAAAAAAAAACAATCGCAAGTCGCGACTTGGAGAATCAAGGCAGAAATTAGTGACCTCCCTCAGTTGTCCTCTTCATCTGCCTCGCCCCTTCTCCTGCTATAGCAACTGATCTAGTGCGTGTGTGTGTGTGTGTGTGTGTGTGTGTGTGTGTGTGTGTGTGTGTGTGTGTGTGTGTGTGCATGTGTGGTGTGTGCGTGTGTGTGTGTGTGCGTGCGTGCGTGCGTGTGTACGTTTTTGTGTGTGCGTGTGTGTGTGTGTGTGTGTGTGTGTGTGTGTGTGTGTTGCAATCCCTTTGTGCTGCCTGTAATCCCACCCCCCTCACCCCACTTCCAGATGCTCATATTCGGAGCCATCTTCAACTGCCTGGCTCCCGCTCTCACCATCGCAGCATCATTGGCATATCGCGACCCCTTTGTGCTGCCCCTCGACAAGAAGGAGATGGCGGACGCTGCTAAGAAGGAGTTCGCCAAGGAGTCAAGGAGGTGAGCAGTGACATGAGCACTCCCCGTCTTGGCATCATTGGCGTATCGCGATCCCTCGTATGCTGGGCCGTTCGTATGCTGGGCCGTTCGTATGCTGGGCCGTTCGTATGCTGGGCCGTTCGTATGCTGGGCCGTTCGTATGCTGGGCCGTTCGTATGCTGGGCCGTTCGTATGCTGGGCCGTTCGTATGCTGGGCCGTTCGTATGCTGGGCCGTTCGTATGCTGGGCCGTTCGTATGCTGGGCCGTTCGTATGCTGGGCCGTTCGTATGCTGGGCCGTTCGTATGCTGGGCCGTTCGTATGCTGGGCCGTTCGTATGCTGGGCCGTTCGTATGCTGGGCCGTTCGTATGCTGGGCCGTTCGTATGCTAGGGGCGTTCGTATGTTAGGCCGTTCGTATGCTAGGGCGTTCGGTTGTTAGGGGCGTTCATATGTTAGGGGCGTTCGGTTGTTAGGAGCGTTCGTATGTTAGGGGCGTTCGTATGCTAGGGGCGTATGTTAGGCCGTTCGTATCCTAGGGCGTTCGGTTGTTAGGGGCGTTCATATGTTAGGGGCGTTCGGTTGTTAGGAGCGTTCGTATGTTAGGGGCGTTCGTATGCTAGGGGCGTTCGTATGTTAGGGGCGTTCGGTTGTTAGGGGCGTTCGTATGTTAGGGGCGTTCGGTTGTTAGGAGCGTTCGTATGTTAGGGGCGTTCGGTTGTTAGGGGCGTTCATATGTTAGGGTAGGCCTCCTCTCTCGCCCGGTAGGCCTCCTCTCTCACCCGGTAGGCCCCCTCTCTCGCCCGGTAGGCCCCCTCTCTCGCCCGGTAGGCCCCCTCTCTCGCCCGGTAGGCCCTCTCTCTCGCCCGGTAGGCCCCCTCTCTCGCCCGGTAGGCCCCCTCTCTCGCCCGGTAGGCCTCCTCTCTCGCCCGGTAGGCCCCTTCTCTCGCCCGGTAGGCCCCCTCTCTCGCCCGGTAGGCCCTCTCTCTCGCCCGGTAGGCCCCCTCTCTCGCCCGGTAGGCCCCCTCTCTCGCCCGGTAGGCCTCCTCTCTCGCCCGGTAGGCCCCCTCTCTCGCCCGGTAGGCCCCCTCTCTCGCCCGGTAGGCCCTCTCTCTCGCCCGGTAGGCCCCCTCTCTCGCCCGGTAGGCCCCCTCTCTCGCCCGGTAGGCCTCCTCTCTCGCCCGGTAGGCCCCCTCTCTCGCCCGGTAGGCCCCCTCTCTCGCCCGGTAGACCTCCTTTCTCGCCCGGTAGGCCTCCTCTCTCTCCCGGTAGGCCTCCTCTCTCGCCCGGTAGGCCTCCTCCCTCCCCGGGTAGGCCTCCTCTCTTGCCCGGTAGGCCCCCTCTCTCGCCCGGTAGGCCTCCTCTCTCGCCCGGTGGGCCTCCTCTCTCGCCCGGTAGGCCTCCTCTCTTGCCCGGTAGGCCTCCTCTCTCGTCCGGTGGGCCTCCTCTCTCTCCCGGTAGACCTCCTCTCTCGCCCGTAGGCCTCCTCTCTCGCCCGGTAGGCCTCCTCTCTCGCCGGGTAGGCCTCCTCTCTTGCCTGATAGGCCCCCTCTCTCGCCCGTTAGGCCTCCTTTCTCGCCCGGTAGGCCTCCTCTCTCTCCCGGTAGGCCTCCTCTCTCGCCCGGTAGGCCTCCTCCCTCCCCGGGTAGGCCTCCTCTCTTGCCCGGTAGGCCCCCTCTCTCGCCCGGTAGGCCTCCTCTCTCGCCCGGTGGGCCTCCTCTCTCGCCCGGTAGGCCTCCTCTCTTGCCCGGTAGGCCTCCTCTCTCGTCCGGTGGGCCTCCTTTCTCGCCCGGTAGGCCTCCTCTCTCTCCCGGTAGGCCTCCTCTCTCGCCCGGTAGGCCTCCTCCCTCCCCGGGTAGGCCTCCTCTCTTGCCCGGTAGGCCCCCTCTCTCGCCCGGTAGGCCTCCTCTCTCGCCCGGTGGGCCTCTTCTCTCGCCCGGTAGGCCTCCTCTCTTGCCCGGTAGGCCTCCTCTCTCGCCCGGTGGGCCTCCTCTCTCTCCCGGTAGACCTCCTCTCTCGCCCGTAGGCCTCCTCTCTCGCCCGGTAGGCCTCCTCTCTCGCCGGGTAGGCCTCCTCTCTTGCCCGGTAGGCCCCCTCTCTCGCCCGGTAGGCCTCCTCTCTCGCCCGGTGGGCCTCCTCTCTCGCCCGGTAGGCCTCCTCTCTCGCCGGGTAGGCCTCCTCTCTCCCCTGATAGGGCGTTTGAATGTTTGGGCGTTCGTATGTTAGGACGGGGCGTTCTTATGTTAGAGCGTTCGTATGTTAGAGCGTTCGTATGTTAGAGCGTTCGTATGTTTGAACTTCTGCCGTGATCATTCCCTGACTCACTCTCGCTCCCACTCCCCCTTATCCCCCTTCACCCCCTTCCCTTGTACCGCCTTCCATTATACGCCCCTCCCTTATACCCCCTTCCCTTATCCCCCCTGCCCTTATACCCCCTTCCCTTATACCCCCTGCCCTTACACCCCCTTCCCCTCTACCCCCTCCCAGTGACCACACAGCACTGCTCAGCACGTTCTAGGTGTGGAGAGCGGCGAAGATGCAGGGACAGGTGCGGAACTTCTGCTGGGACAACGTCCTGCATCGCACTCTTCCCCTCCCCCGTTCCCTTCCCTTCCCTTCCCTTCCCTTCCCTTCCGTCCCTCCCAGCGACCACATGGCTCTGCTGAACGCGTTTGAAGGGTGGATGGCGATGATGCAAAATTCACGGGGAACTTCTGCTGGGACAACTTCCTGTCTTACTCTCTTCCCTCCCCCCTCTTCCGTTGGACCCTTTCCCAGCGACCACATAGCTCTGCTGAACGCGTTTGAGGGGTGGATGGCAGCCAAGATGCTGAGGCAAGTGGGGAAATTCTGCTGGGACAACTTCCTGTCGGCTCATTCCCTAGCCCTTTCCCCCACCCCACCCTCTTCCCTTCCCTCCCAGTGACCACATAGCTCTGCTGAACGCGTTTGAGGGGTGGAGGGCAGCCAAGATGCAGAGGCAAGAGCGGGACTACTGCTGGGACAACTTCCTGTCGGCGCCGGTGCTGCAGATGGTGGCGGACATGCGAGGGCAGTTCCTGCTGCTGCTCAGCGATATCGGGTTCTACGACCCCAGAGCGGGGCTCAATGTGAGTGTGTATGACACGCATGCAGTCCTTGTTGCGTCCTTGGTTGTATGGTCCTTGCTGCAGATAGATGGTGTCGGACATGAGGGGGCAGTTCCTGCTGCTGCTGACCGACGCCGGGTTCTACGACCCCAGAGTGGGGCTCAATGTGAGTGATGAGTTATGTGCTTATGCGCAGCCGTACATGCCATACATGCACTCGTGGTGGCTGACATGCGAGGGCAGTTCGTTCCTCCACCTGCTCAGCGATACCGGATTCTAGGAGTCTAGTTTTGAGGCGCCTCAAAACTAGACTCCTATCACGTTTTGTTGACAGCAAGCTCACATAAGATCAGGAGATGCTCCCAACAATTACTATTTACCACCACGCAACCCCTCCTTAACTCCACCCACCGATTTCCCGAACAACCCCTGTCCCTCCTTATCCCCTCCTTCTCCCCTCCTTCTCCCCTCCTTCTCCCCTCCTTCTCCCCTCCTCATCCCCTCCTTATCCCCTCCTTAACCCTTTTCTCAGGAGTACAGCAAGCTCGCCTCGGATCAAGAGATGCTCTCAGCAGTCATCTGTGCCGGCCTCTATCCCTCGGTGGCTCAGGTAATCCCTTCTAGAGGTCAGGCTAGACGTTTCTACACCTCAATAGCTCTCAGGGGAAACACTATTTCGTTTCGAGGCATCTATCGTTTTACTAACAATCGCTTCTTCCTTATGTGTGAAATGACTCGTGTTTTTATGCATCTATAAACACCCTCCCCCTCCCCCCTTTCCAGATTCGTCGCCAGGGCAAGCGGTTTGTCTTTTTCACGAAGGACGACGGACGCGTGGAGATGCACCCTTCCTCAGTCAATGCCTTCTGCCCTTCCTTCTCGCGCCCATGCCTCGTGTACAACGAGAAGGTCAAGACCTCCGATATTTTCCTCAGGTTGGTAACAGTCCGATGTGGTTTCAATAGGTGCAAAGCGGATCACTGCGGTTCAGTGGGTTACCAGTGGTGCATTCGGGTCTAGCCTTCTGCCCTCCGTTCCTTCCCTGCCCCATGCTCTCTGTCGGCCATCACTACTGCGACTCCTGTATGGTATGTTTCTGACTTTACTCTCCTCATGTGCGAATGCAGCTCAAGGGTAAGTTGGTTCTTGAGAAGTCTAAGAAATCAACTTAGCTCAAGGGACGTCCTTACCTTACCTTCTCCTGCCCTCCTCCACCCACCCCTACAGGGACTCCACTGTGGTCTCTGACTTTGCTCTTCTCATGTTCGGAGGCAACCTTGAGCCACTCCATATACACCCTTTCCCTTTCCCATTCCCTTTCCCATTCCCTTTCCCTTTCCCTTTCCCATTCCCTTTCCCTTTCCCGTTCCCGCCCCTACTCCACCCCTCCACTCATACCTCCAGGGATTCCACTATGGTCTCTGACTTTGCTCTTCTCATGTTCGGCGGCAACCTCGAGCCGGCCCCGGCGGGCCGCACGGGCTTTGACATGTTGGGCGGCTATCTGCACTTCAGCGCCTCGGCTCAGACGGCTAAACTCGTGCAGGTGAGAGGCGAGGTGCCAGTGAGAGTGGTAGTAGGGGCTGAGGTGAGCTCACACAGGTGAGTGCATAGCACACAGCCCCACATACTTTGACCCCTGCTGGCCGCACGGGGTTTCACATGCTGGGAGGGTATCTGCACTTGAGCGCCTCTGCTCAGACGACTAAGCTGGTGCAGAGGAGAGCAGCTTGGGTTGGTGTGAGACCAGGTGGTCGCACGGTATCTGGATCTCAACGCCGCCTGTCAGACTGTTAAAAAAGCACGGGGGAAGAATGGTTTGGGTTGATGTGAGAGCACAGGGGAGAGCGCACAGGGTAGAGCGCACAGGGGAGAGCGCACAGGGGAGAGCGCACAGGGGAGAGACAAGATCGAGAACCCATCCCACACCCATTGTGCCCGTCCTTCCCCATCCTTCCTCCCACTCTCAGGACCTACAGCAGCAGCTAGACTCGCTCCTGAGGGACAAGATCGAGAGCCCATCCTTGGACGTGCACGCGCAAGGGGAGAGGGTGGTGGCCGCAGTGCTGTCCAGCCAGCCTGCTGTTTGTCCTCCCCTCATGCCAGTTATGCTCATCGCAACCTATGCTGCCTCTGCCCCTCCGTTCCCCCATCCCTCCTCCCTCCCCCTTGCAGGACCTACGGCAGCAGCTGGACTCGCTTCTAAGAGACAAGATTGAGAACCCATCCTTGGACGTGCATGCCCAGGGGGAGAGGGTGGTGGCCGCAGTGCGCAGTCTGCTGTCCTCCCCCCATGCAGATTCCCTCCCACCTGCGGAGTCAGGGGGCGGGGGAGGAGGGGGAAGAGGGGGTGGGAGAGGGGGGGGAGAGGGGGGGGAGACATGGTGGGGGGCGCGGGCATGGGCATGGGCATAGGGGGCGGGGGGGAAGGCACTAAGGTGAGAGATTGAAGATGAATGGAATGACAACACAAGGGGAGAGGGTGGTTGCAGCAGTGCGCAGTCTGCTGTGCTCCCCCCATGCTGATGCGCTCCCACCAGGGGGTCCAGTGGGGTGGGAGGAGGGGGGAGGGTGGGTGGAAGAGGAGGGAGAACACACGGCATGGGCCGTGGGCATGGGCTTAGGGGGGGTGGGGGAGGGCACTAGGATTAGAATGTACATCATGTAGCACATTAGATTCAAGCAGGGGGTGATGGTAGCATGCTGATTCAAGCATGTGAAGATGAGTGCACATGAAGATGACCCAATTGGACATTCAACCAATGAACATACAACTACAGCGCATACATGAAGGGCCATCCAATTCACAGTTCTCAATTTCCAATCAATACACGTCTTTTTGCAAGCAAGACATCACACCTTAGCCATTTTAGGAAATGACATTTTTTGTTACTCATATGGGCACTCGAAACTGCGGAGAAGCCTTGGAATTGTTCTGAACTCCAGTCGAATCGTACCACAACGAAGACAAGGAAAGCTGGTACGTGACGTTCACTTCCCTTCCCTTCGCCTCTTCCTGTCTAGCTGTCTTCCCCCTAGCTGATCATTGCCTGGCCAGCCTTCAACAGTGATTCCTAGGGCGAACGCTTTCCGCTGGGAAGCTTATATCCATGGCGTCTGCCATCTCTCCGTGCCTTCTCGCAGGCCGATCTCTAGTATCAACGCATCGTGTTCGTTATGGCACTCCGCTGTCGGTGCCTAGAGACTTGCGTTTCACGGAGCAACGCAGGTTTGCAGACTTCTCCGTGCACGCGAAAAAGAAGAAGGTCGCCGAAGCTCCAGTAGTAGAGGAGGTGGTGGAAGAAGAGTTAGTCGAAGAGGAAATTCCCGAGGAGGAAGCGGAGCCGTCGTGGGTGTCTGAGCGGGTGACCGATGTCCAGCAGACAGTCCAGTCAGTAATGCAGGCCGTTCCGGGACCACGTGTAGGCGAATCGAATATGCCATGGCTTGTCGCCTTGCCACTGGGATACATGGCTCTGACTTTCGTTCTGGCAGTGTATAAAACCGTGAAAATGCGAAGCTCTCCCAAGGCGAAGCGCAGACGACAGGTGCGAAATCCTGGCCTTACGCTCAGGTTGATAAGGTTAAGTTCTGTGTGGGCTGGAAAGGGTACATTCGCGCACATGAGTTCCTCATCTTCATTCGTGTGTGAAACTGACAGATCGGGAAGAATGCTGGCCTTAATCAGACCATCGACGAATTCTTGCCGGATAATAAAGCAGCTCTGACTTCGAAGGAGCTCAAGTCGCTCGAGAAGAAGGTATTTTCAATCCGCAGGGTAAAGTTCAGGACACCTTTTTTAGCATGTTAGCAGCTCTCTCTGACATTCTTCCTTTTCTGCAGTTCAACTTCAGCTCAGATGAAATTCTTCGCAAGTACATTCGCTACATCATCAACGAAAAGCCCTTCACCCCGGAGACGGTATCCGGCCTGATTCACCTTCGGCGAGTGTCTGGCCTCGATGACCTTGAGATTGCCGAGGTGCTCAACGAGATCTCTCGGAGAATCGTTAAAGCCAAAGGTATTATCTGCATTCGTTGGTGTTTCCGTCCTCTTGCTTTCTCCGTTGAGGCAACTAATTTCAGAAGACTTTTCCCGCCCTAACATTCCCTGTCGATGCAGGTCCTGTTGTGATGGACACAACTGGTTTCACTGAGAAGGGAGTGCAGAGGAAGGCAGCAGTGCAAGGAATCTTCACGAAGCTCCTCTATTTGTCTGAGGTGCGTAGGTTTCTTGCTCACGTTGGTGCTTCCATCATGTCACAGGAACTGACATCATTTGTTGCTGATGCAGCTGGATGACTTCTGTGGGCCATCTGGGCGCGAGAAGCTTGAAATCAAAAGCATTTTTGGAGTCACGGAGTGAGTCTTGCTGATCATTGGCCGTCTTAGCTTTTCTTTTGACGTTGTGAGCTGCCAGTAACGTTAATCCTTTCTTCTTGCAGTGAGGATGCTGCATCAATCAGGATTGTGAGCTTGTCTTCATCAGCAGACCTGGATGCGCTGGACAAATCATTAGATGCTGGCGACTCATCTGATTCGGAAGCAGATGAGCCATGAACATTGACCTGCAACCTAATATACTGGAACACTTTAGGTCGTGCAGTTGCGGTTTAGGTTGCCACGTTGCGGACCTAGGCACCAGTAGATGGATAGCTATTTGCACGTACGGTAGGTTGCAGTCAGAACTGTTTCGATACGTTAATGCAGAAGAGTCTTAGTCCATTCAGTTATTAACCAAAAGTGCAAGATACTCAAATTGTAATTTTTGAAATCAGTTTGGTGCGAAATAGGAGAGCAACAGCAACTATTTGCGTATATAAATTAGAGAATACACGCTTGCACGCCTGCAGCGCGAGAACAAATCTTAACCGCCCTTTTATCTAACCATCGACGGCGTGACGTGGTTTCGCTCGATCCGAAGGCCAACCAAAGAAGCTTCGTCATTGGTTGTTTGGACTGTTCCTTCATTCCAACCAAAGCACAGCCCTGAGGTGGGGAGGGGACGATGTGAGCTCCATAAATCCAGCAGCAGGCGGAGTCTCTCTCAACTTCAGTTTACACTGTTTGCCTCCTAACTTCAGTTTAGCGTCCACTTCTCGCGTCAACCAAGCTCTATTGCATAGCGTAGCTCTACTGTGTGTTCCCCATTTCCACGATACAGTTTTTGCTCTAGTCGCCATGGCTCCGAAAGTCGAGGGAGAGCAGAAGGCAGCCAAGAAGGGCCCAAAGAAGGAGCCCACGGCGAAAAAGTCGCCTGGAGCAGGAAAGAAGCTCGCAGGAGAGAAGACGGAGAGGAAAAAGGCTCGGAAGGCCGTTACGGAAACGTACAAGATCTATATCTACAAGGTTTTGAAACAGGTAAGCATTCCTCGGCAGGCCGTTCTTCCTCGGCACGCATTCCTTCCTCCGATGCTTTTTCGTTCCATGTTTTATCGAGCAAAGCTGACGGAATTTGTTTCCCGTGGTTTTTGTTAATGTTCTTTTCCAATGCAGGTTCATCCAGACACTGGCATTTCGTCCAAGGCTATGTCGATTATGAACTCCTTCATTAACGACATTTTCGAGAAACTGGCGACGGAAGCCTCGAAATTAGCTCGGTACAACAAGAAACCCACGATCACGTCTCGCGAGATTCAAACAGCAGTGCGGCTTACCCTCCCTGGCGAATTGGCGAAGCACGCAGTGTCCGAGGGTACCAAGGCCGTGACCAAGTTCACCAGCGCGTGAGCTGTTGATATTCTACCATATGGTTGTTGCGACTACAGCCGATTAACATTTACCTTAGGTTCTTGTGGCCTCTGTATAGTTTTCACCATATGTTAGTGTTTCCAGTCTATTACCAATCAGTTTTGAGCTTGCTGAGTATTGTGACGTCAATTCCAGTCCGGATATGGAGTTGGCTGGGTGCAGTGGTTCAGATTCTATTGCCAATATGGGGTTGGCTGGAAGCTGAGGACCACATCAGCCAGGAGAGCAGGTCAAGCAAGCGGACATGAGAACACAGGTGGACCAGAAGTTTGGGACCGATAGTTTTGTGTTCGGGAAGATTTGCCTGAGCCCCACGAAACTTGATATCTAGGCTACACGACACCAGGTTCGAGAGTGTAGGTAATGACGTTTGCTGTTATGAATCATGAAACCGAACATAGGTATGTGGTTTTTCTCAAATTCTGCCCGTCCAGCCTGGAAATACCCACATCGATCTCTCCAGGTCCCGTGCTCCCATGTTCCTCTTGGTGCTTCGAAAAGCCCCATGTCTAGGGCATCATGCCAGCAAGCCAAGGGAGCTGTTCCAAGGGAAGGTCAAAAGAACAGGCGTTGGGAGATCTGGCCTAGAAAGTTCACCTGGGAACGGGAGTTGGCCTAGCGAGACCCAGAGAGCAGGAAGGCTGCAGATTACCGTGAAGTGTCCTAGATGTTGCAAAGGCACTGGATGTGGGATGCCATGCCAGCCTCCCGAATACGGCCAGGAGATCATGTCTCCCTGCACTGCCAGCATTGCTCAAATAGTAGACTCGCCACAGCTTGATCTTTTACCAGCCGCCGTCTCGAGCCTTCTTTTTTTTGTCAGGCTGTTGGTTGTATTATGAGGACCAGTGGCTCGCTTTCGATGTTTTCTGGTGATTGATCTTCTCCCCTTGAGGAACATATTTCTCGTCAGCGGACCCCACGGTTCCGTCAGCAGAGATTGCGGTGCTGTTACCAGAGTTAGCCGTGCCGTCAGCACACGTTGCCGTTCCGTCAGCAGAGCTTACCGCTCCGTCAGCAGATGTAACCGCCAGCCTCTGCGTAGTGGATGATCAATAGAGTGCCGTTTGATCGGTAAAACCTAATCAGGATCGCAGGATATTATCATATCCTGCCACGTGTCAGGATACTATGTTTTCGCCAAACGACATTCCCCCAGCTTTAGAAACTGTTCCAACGTTCCGCCCTCCGCCATCCGCGGAACCAGCGCAGACAACATCTGCGCTCAACGAGATTCCCCCGTCCCTCGATACAGTACCCACCTTCCGCCCTCCCCCTTCCGCAAACGAAGCAGCGCAGAGCGCAAGCCCGCACGACCAGGTTCCGCCGTCCCTCGAGACAGTCCCCACCTTCCGCCCGCCCCCAGCCGACGGCGCTTCGTCGATAGTTAATCTCGCCGCGTCTTCCGCCGGCTCGTCCTTTAGATTATTCTCCTCTCAGGAAGATGAGTTATCTGGAGCGACTATTAAGCCTAAAGGTTCGGATTTAAACCTCTCTATATCCCTCTCCTCGAACGCAAGAAATTCTCAAAGCCTAGTAGGTACTACTGATCTCAACGGGGATGACAATAACGAGGATGACGGGGATGCGGCGTTATCCCCCGCTACACCCACTTTCACCTCGACAGGTCTGAAAACGATTCGCCCTGCTCGAAGCCCTCGCCACGTGGCACATCCGGACCCATCCGCTCCACACAACACTTTCTCTCAACCCAATCTCACTTCCGCTCCCCCCAGCCACGCTTCCGCTTCCGCCAGCCATGCAGCCCCCCCCGAGCGCCCTCCGCGCAGCTCCTCCCGCGGCTCCCGCGACCTCTCCGCGCTCACCATCAGCTCCCCCCATCCCAGCAGCTCCTCGCGCACCCCGCGCGACCTCTCCGCGCTCGCCGCGCTGCTGGAGCCCCCCCGGGAGATGCGCCACAGCAGCAGCTTCCGCAGCAGCAGCACCAGCGGAGGCGGAACCGGCGGAAGCGCTGGCGGAATGCGGAGCGGTAGCTTCAGAGCGAGTACACTCCGCAGTAACAGCAGCAGCGGTGGCGGTGGCGGTGGTTTTGGCAGTGGGAGTGTCGGGGGAGGGGTAGGGAGTATTGGAGGGAGGTCGTTTCGAAAAGCCCTGTCTTCAAGTGCGAAAGTTCTGGACGCGGTTTCTGCTGCTGGCGAAGGAATTGGCGAAGGGGCTGGCGAAGGCGGCGCTGGTGGTAACCTTAGGGTTTCAAGGCCGGCTACAGCGTATAGTAGGTCTCCCACGCGGCGTAGGCTTGCTAGCTCGCATGCATCCCGGTCTAGAAGACACCTGCTGCCACCGGTAGCAGCAGGAGGAGGAGCAGGAGCAGGAGGAGCAGGAGGAGCAAGAAGAGCAGGAGCAGCAGAAACTGGTTTGGAAAACGGTTCTGATGACATGGCGGATAGTGTGTTTCCTGAAGCCGACTTGCTGGTTCTAGACGACCTAGAGGGTTTGGGGGAGGGGGATGAGGAGGAGGAAGAAAGGGAGGAGGGAGAGGAGGGGGAAGGGGTAACTGGTGAGGGTGGGGAGGTGGGAAGAGTGTATCCAGAAGGGAGTTATGAGGCGCAAGCTGCTGCTGCGGCTGCGGCAGTGGCTGCAGCCTCTGCAGCGCTAGCAGCGAAATCGCCCCGGTTTGTGAAGTCCCCTCCTCGCTCGTTCAGCTCCCATCACTCGTTTAAGACTGCACACACCCCCAAATCCCCACGAAACATGCGCTCCCCTCGGCTCTCTGCCTCTTCCTCCTTCTCCCACTCTTCCCTCCCCTCCTCTTCCCTCCCCTCCTCCTCTCTCCATTCCTCCTCCTCTGTACGCTCCTCTACTCCCCGAGCCTACCCCTCTCGCACGCCAAGGTCGCTCCGAACCTCCGCCAGCACCAGGTTCGGCCAAGCTGACAGGGATGGTACTGCTGCTGAAATTAACGGTGGAGATGGATTCAATGGTGCTGGATTCAACGGTGCCGATGACATTGATGATCTTGTTCCTGACTCACCTGCCTCCCCAGGGTCATCTGCCCACCGGAGACCAAAATCTCCCCTCAAGCGTGACTATAGCCGCAATGACAGTAACGAGCTTGCTGCACGTGACTATAACGAGGGGAGGAAGCTAACTGCATTGCAGGAAGGAGAGACAGAGGCAGCGGCGATGCCTCCTGGTTCTCCGGCGTTTCTGCCCGAAAATGTGGGTTTTGAGAGGCCGGTCAGCCCGTTGAGAAGTCCTTCTGCCCGGTTGAAAATCCGCGAAGGGGTCACTGCAGGGCTTATGAACCGACTCATGCTCGCAAATCCCTTGGCTGCTGAGAGCGCAAGGGAAACCGCAGGAAGAGCAGAAAACGGAAGCGATGGAGGTGCAGTGGAAACAATGGCAGCCAGAGCAGCACGGGGAGGAAAGGAAGCCGAGATAACGAGAGGCCCAGCAGCGGGAGCAGTAGTGGCAGCCGGAGCAATGGCAGCGGGAGCAATGGCAGCCGGAGCAGGGGCGGAAGCAAAAGAAGCAGAAGAAACAGAAGGCCTCACTGCGGAGTCAAGTGAAGTGGGACGAGGAGACGTGAGTAGCAGAGGAGCTCAAGAGACAGCAGGAGTGCTGGAAGACGTGACAAGGACAGATATAGCAGCTCCTGGACAGCACAGTCAGCAGCACGGGCAGCAAAACGGGCAGCAGAACGGGCAGCAGCCCGGTAGGGAGTCAAGTCAGCAAGCAGGGGAAGGGCCACAGGCAGGGGGGAGCCAAGGAGCAGATGTACAGCAGATGTACCGTGCAGGAGAGCGTCCAGTCAAGCAGGCCATATCCATTGAGATCCCAACCAGTCCTGTAGCCTTGCCTCGGGCAGGTTCCGAACCTCACGCCCCTGCCGAAGCTGGTGCCGAAGCTGGGTACATTCGGCTAGCCACCGAAGCTCCGCGCCGAAGCAGCTTTGACCTGGCTTCTCCTCTGGCGCAAGCCGTTTTGCCTCGGGATGTTTCTATATTCCTGGGAGAGGGTGAGAAAAAGAGTGAGGGAGTGAGTGAGGGAGCGAGTGAGGGAGTGGGTGATGGTGCGAGGGGTGGTGGGGAGGAGGAGAGCAGGGAAAAGAGGCCGGGGAAACAGGGAGGGGCGAGAATGGAGATGCTGCGGCTGCTGCTGCTGTTGCAACTGATAGTTGTCCTGCTACCGGTATCCCTCCAAAACCAAAGAAAAGAGGCGAAAAAGGAGAGGGGAAGCTGAGAGAGAAGAAGGAGAGCAGCAAAGGCAGCAGCAGCAGACATAGCAGCAAAACACGCAGCAGAGCGAGCAGCAGAGGCAGCAGCAGGGGGGTGAGGAAGAGGTGAGGGAGTCAGAGGCAGTCTCACGGTCTGTTACTGGAGACAGTATGGCTAGTGGGAATGCTTCTGAGTCGACTCAAAAGCAGTCGGTGTCCCGATCGGTTACTGAAGATAGTATGGCTAGTGGGAATGCAGAGAGAGGAGTGGATGAGAAGGATGGGGGTAAGAAGCACAGAAGCAGTAGTAGCAGGCACAAGGAAGTAAGCAAAAGCAAGGGTGAGAGTAAGGAAAAGGAAGGTGGTAGAAGCAAGGGTGGCAGCAGCAGCACCAGCAAGTCTAAGAGTGGTGACAGGGAGCAGGCACGAGGCAGGGACGGGGAAGAGGAGAAAGAGAGGGAGAGAGTGAGGAGTAAGGACAGGCATAAGGAGAAGGAGAAGGATAAGGAAGAGGAGGGGGATGGGGAGGCGGGGAGCCGGAGTAAGGATGAGGCAAAGAAGCGTTCGTCTCGCACAAGCAAGAGTGGGTCGACTGGAGAGAGAAGAAGGGAGCGAGAAAAAAGCAGGAAGGAAAGCAGTAAGGAAAGCAGCAAGAGGAGCAGTAGAACAAGCAGGGACAAGGAAAAGAGAGCGAAAGAGGGCAGGGATCTTCAGGGGGCTGACAGCGTGGCTTCTGAAAGCGTGGCTTCTGAGAGTGTAGGAGGGTCGGGGAGGCGACGGGAAGTGGAGAGTAGTAATGAAGGCACGGAGAGGAGTTGCAGCATAGGCGAGGATGGGTTCCACCCGGGGTTCTGGGAGGCGATCTCTGCTGGTGGTGGTGGCACGGGTGCCGATGGTGCTGGTGATGATGGCACTGCTGCTGCTGGTGCTGCTGAGGGGGAGGCATTTGCCCGCATGCCCCCCAAGACCCCCAAGGCCCCGGGTCATGGGCTCATGAGCCGCAATATGAGCCGGGATACCCTCTCTCGACCGGGGACTACCTCATCCCGACCCGCCACCTCCCTCTCCTCCCGCCCGGGCACGTCCTCTCGCAAGTCCGGGACCTCTGGTTTGAATTTTGTTGACTGCGAGTTTGATAAAATTGTTGAGGAGTTTTCCCGGCCCAAATCGGCGCATCCGAAGGGTTGCCAGTGGGGCGACGAGCGGGGGAGGGGAGAAAAGGGGGAGAGGGGAGGACGAGGGGGAGGGGGATGAGGCGATGGAGGCGAAGGAGGGTGAGGAGGAAGAGGGGGAAGAGGATGGGGGAGCGCTTTACGGAAAAGAGCCGGTTCTGAGAGGTGATGGGAAGGGGGAGGGGAGGGGGGATTGGAAAGCAGCAGGAGGGGCAGCTGGGCGCGCGGCAACAGCAATGGCAGCAGCGTTTAGAGAGACGTCTCAAAAGGCTGTAGCATCAGCGGCTGTAGCGTCGGCTGCTGCAGCAGCTGTAGCGTCAGCTTCGTTTGTGCCGCCCCTTCCCCCCGCGTGCTTCTATCGAGAGTTGAAAAGCTGTGGAAGAGCTCAGGCAAAAGGGGGCAGGGGAAAGGAGGAGGAGGGGGTGATTCAGCGGATGTGCTTGTGATTTCACATGGGGGGGAAGAAGACGAGACGGATCCAGTGGAAATGCTGAGGAGAGTGGAGGAGGAGCAAAAGAAGAGGGGAATTGTAGGTGCGCAGGGGTGGGGGGCGATTGGGCATCTAAATGCCGATGATAGAAGGATGTTTTGGAGGCCTTCGTTACCACGGTTGGAGGAAACGGAGATGGAGGAGGAGATAGTGTCGGATTCAGATAAGACGCCTAAAGGGCGTAGGTCTAAGTCATCTTTGGTGTAGATACGAGGTATTCATATATCCGTTCCTTGACGATTTGTTTTTTAGGTATTTGTCTTTGTTGCGTGGCCGATTCAATCTATACTGTTATGCTATGTTGAAGGTGGTTCTACTCCAATACCATATGTAGTTTTCTCTACGCAAGCCTTAGATAGAATATGAAGCATGGGGTGTCGCCATATCATTAAAGACAGGAGTGCTCTTTGCCTACTTGTTGCAGTGAGGATCGCTTTTACGCGTACAGGGTGACGGCACGTCACTGAGCTTTGCGCCCGCGACGGCCCATGGGTATTTTCTATTGGTAAAGCGCCTGGCGCGATATTGATTTGGGTGGTGGGCATGTTTAGCGCAAAATGGTGCAACGTTGTTCGGCGAACGGTTACCAGCTATCCATGACAATGTGATGTGACTGAGATGTGTCCTCGCAAATCTTCGTTGCTTGACTAACTCGTGTCGGCCGGAGTTGCGAACAGCGCATCGCACTGACCAGCGCGGTTAGCAGCACCACCAACCAGCCCCCACCTCCATCCTATGAGGCGCGACGCGACCTGCCTCACATTTCCACTCTGCTCTGTCTCGCCGCAGCAAAGCACGCAAACCCGAAGCAGGACTTTCACCCTCCCATGCTTCCGAGTCCCACCCGGGTCCCCCCGTCTCCCACCCACCTGCTTTCCGCCCCAAATATTCAAACCTGTAACACCCATGCGCGTGCAAGTGTATGAAGCACGCACAGCAAATTCTACGACGTTGTTGCACCTCATGTGACGCTAGACAAGCCCATTTCCTCTTAGTCGACCGCTCATGTCATTCTGCCTTTAGCATCAGGCGCCCTCAGCTTCGTACCACAGTAAATTTATCAACCACCACCGCAAACAGAATAGCACGAAAGCAATAGCGCTCTCCTACCATCCATAGCTTATCTCCTCTCGGACCCCATCTCGTCACTATGAAACGCCACGCGCATTCCTCCCTTCTCGCCGTCGCGTTAATCGTCATCCCTCTCGTCTTCTCTCTAGCGCGTACAGCCGCGGCGCAGCAGTATCCGCTCTGCCCGTTGACGAAGCAGCCGCCATCGCTCCCAACAGTACCGTACCGCCGCTGCTTGGACGCCGCTGCCGCTTCCTGCTGCACGGATTGCGCGGAAATCGAAAACGCGCTCGCGGGAGTGTCGGCGAATGTAACCATTATCATGCCGCAGCTGCTGACGCCGCTCGGGCCGATGAACGAAGTCGACTACTCTGGAGTCAAGGTACGTTGGCGAAATGGTGCGACGAGCGAGTAACGGTAGCTTCGCAAGCACTATGTCGGCGAACGTGCCAACCATCACGCAGCAGCTGCTGGCGCCTCTAGGGCCTAAGAACAAGGTCGGCGGTTGGGTAACGTTGCTCATATTCTCTTCCACCTCCCCCCAATTTTCCCCCTCCCCCATTTCCCCCCTCCCCGCCCCCCGCCCCTCCCAATACCGGAACCCTCTTTTCCATCTCGTCTCCAGGCGTGTGACTTTCTCTACGGCTTTGAAGATTGCCAGTTTCATCTCGAGCAGCTCCTCTGCGCGCTCACCTGTAACCCGGGTACGTACGTCTTCACGTCTGGTCGGTCGCGTGCTTAAAGCGTACGAGTGAATGATTCATCACGCTACAGTTAATTGCTTTCTGTGCGTTTCTAGTACCAGCCTTTGCCTCTTTTTAGTGTCACACTCCCAGTAGCTAGCGAGCCATTACGTGCTCGCGAACCCACTCCCAGTAACAAGCGGAACCAGTCCCTTACGGTCTCCGTTATTCTCCTCCATGCCCGAACGCTACATTACATCTGCAGGCACCTGGAAATACATGGGGGGTAGTACACTCATGCTCTTCGAACTGCCTGTTCATCACTCCCTATTTTCCCTATTTGCTCACCCCCGCAGATTCGGGCAACTACGTGTTCTCGAAGGTCGGGAGACCCACGCTCCGTGTGTGCCCCACATACGCGCAAGAAGTGTTTCAATACTGCAAAGACGTCTCGCGTGAGTGCTCTATCTTATATCTTATGTTTCTGGCTCCAGTACTCTATGGTGCTCTGATCTTGCCATTAATTTCCCTCGATTTCTTTTTCCTGTGTCCCCTCATAATTCCCCCACTCGCGCTCCTTTCCCTTGTTCTCCCCCACCTCCCCCCCCCCCCCCCCCCCCCCCCCCCCCCCCCCGCCTTTTTCTCCTCCTTTGCCGCTTCTTCACTCCCCTCATCCTTCCCCTCTTGCTTTCCTTTCTCCTCGCCCCCACCCTTTCGCCTGCAGTCGGCACTGTTTTAGTGGGAGCGGGATTCCCCACCAAGGAGCTGCTGCTGGGCCGCCTATTCACTCCGCTCGTGCGCAAGCTGGGCGTTGGAAACGTCAACTTCATCGTCTCTGAGGTGGGCATACCTGGCCTCGTTATTAGCAGAGATGGGAGCCTGCCGTTTTTCCCCACTTCCTGATCCCGTTCTAGTCACACTCCTCACCGCCCCTGATTCTCTGAAGCCTGCCGATATGCCTATCACTTCATCATTATTATATCGTTTTCCCCCCATTTTCTTATTCCGTCCTGCCTCCCTAGTTCCCTCACACTTTTTCTTCTCGCTTCCCAAACCCCCTCTCCCATCTGCCCCCCACTACAGGCAAACTGCTACAGTGGCCCCGCCGCGCTCCCCGAGCAACCTGCATGCTGCGACCCGTTATACGTCCCTAAGGACTGCCCTTACGGCTCTGTCGACACAAAGACATACGGCTCCTTTATAGGCCGCCCGTTGGAAGGCAAGGCAACCGACGCTTGCCAGTGGTTCCCTCTTCCTGAGGATCCTAATCTCCCCCCGGTGCCTGAGAATCCTCCGCTTCCTTATATCACCGGTGCCGCACACGAGCCTCCGGCTCCGGATGTTGGCACACCCTGGGCTTCTGAGCCTGTGCCTAAAAGCAACCCAAGTGTTATGACTTACAAGGGGGCGGCACGTACAGGAGTTGCTGGTGTGGCAGCATTTGTGATGACTCTGGTTGCTGCTGCTGTTGGTGCCCTTTTGTAGGCTGATTGGGATAGTATCTTGAGAGCCTTCGATATACTGTACTGAAAAGGTAGAGGCCTTCTTCTAGTGCATAGCGTATATAAAATGGAAGTTGTATTTATGTACCATCATTTACCTTGGACGATACCTGAGTAACGGGATCGCCTACAAACCGTTTGCTGTATTGGCACGCCGATTGTTTCGCGCCCAATTTCACACATTTCAAAGAATTTATGCGCCAGAAATGTTGGACGCAGCGCGCATTTCCGCAAAATCAATATTCACATCAGGGTGGAAGATTGTCGGTGCAAGGAAATGGAGTACAAGAATGAAACAATTTCTCGCATCTGAGTTATCAACGTCCGAGGGAGGGGGGAACAAGATGGTTGGAGAAATAAGTAGACCACAAACATCGACTCATGAATCACGAAATCCGCTGGCAGCTTTGAGTCCTACATGGAAAGTACACCGGGAAAACCCAGGAGCTTTCTTTATTAGCCCATCCGTTGGTGGGCGGACTGGAAATTGCTCCTCCGGGACTCAGCTGCCCCCACTGGAAACAACCAACCTTTCGCCAACGTCACCATTCACAACACAAGCACAAGCCCGGAGGCATGAAGGGTCAAGTTTACTAGTCCAGTTTCACTCCCTTCTTCACCGCATCGCTCTCCGCGGCATCCGCATTCCCCTTCATCGCGTTGAACCGCGTCGTCAGCGCCCCGACCGTTTTCTCCTGGCTCGAGCGGAGCGCCACCTTGGTATTAAGCGCCGCTTTCGCAGTGCGCTGCGCGGCCAGCTTCTGCTGCGCAATCGTGTTCGACGCTTTAACGTCCGCGTCTGCCGCCTTAGTGCTGTTAATCTTCTGCTGATAGAGCACCAATGAGTCCTTCTCGTCCTTCTCCGCTTTCTCCTTCACGAGCTTTTGCTCGTCAGCCGCCTTGCGCGTCTCGGACTTGTCCTGAACCTTATTTCCGTGCTCGACCGTCCGGGAGTCAACCCGGTACACCGCGTTAGCCGCCTGCTTCTGAACCGCCACCAAGATTCGATCCGATTGTAGCTTGACGTTATACGCTTCCGTCTGGTACGCCTTCGCTTCGGGAGTGCCAAGCCTCGCCGCGGCCCGCGCCGCGCTGGTAGCTTCGGCCAGGGCCTCCGCGGCGATCTTCGTCTGCTCGTCCCTAATCAGATTCGTCGTATCGAGACGATTCTGCGCCTCGATAATATCCTTCGCGGCCTCCGCCTCATCGAATAGGGCCTCCTGGGCTTGCGAGTCGAGATCGTCGTAATATTCGCGCTCCTCCTTCGTCGTCTGCTTCGCGTCGATCGCCGCCTGTCGCGCGACCTCCTGCATTTGCTTCGCCTGCTCCAGCGCCGCCCTCTTCCCGTTCAGATCCGCCATGGCAGCGTCCGCCTCCGCGTCCGCGTCCGCCGATTTCTTCGCCGCGGCTTGCTCGTCCGCCAGTCGCGTGTCCAGGACCCCCTGCGCTTTGTCCAAGTCAGCCTTCGCCTGATTGGCCTGCGCACGGAGCGTCTTGGCCTTAGAAGTGAGGTAAGCGACCTGTGCGGCGTTCAGGTTCTGCGCGCTGGCGACGATTCTAGGGTTTGAAATGGAAGCTGTAGCAGCGAGAGCGAGGAGGAGAAGAAGGGCGGGCTTGATAAGAGGACGACGGGCGGCCATGGCGGCAATGCGGTTGTTCCGCGTCGTGTGGTGAAAACCTGAACTATTGTTTTCACAACTCGAAAAAATGATGGTAGTAGTGATTCTGCAACTCGGAAACTGGTCTGGCAGACTGCACGTGCGAGTTGCGCCGTCACTTGAACTGCCGCTGGCAGTGCTCGTCTTTCAGGCGCTAGAACTTCGGTTATGTGACAGCAACGGGAAGGTGGAGTGCGCTTGACGGCTTTCCGAAGTCTACGAAATAGAATGGTTCACAAGCTCTATGGAGCTCGGAGTTCGCGTGACACGGTACTATTGAGAAGGCTAAGCTTGGATGTCTGCTATGAAGGGTGGTCCCTGATCTTATATGTCTTTGAGCGACCTTCTACCTCAGAAACAACCGAGACGATGAGTATAACAGGGCGCGGACGCGGGTGTACTGTATCGGATTGTCATTGGTCGGTACTGTTCGAAGGCCCGAGGAAAAGGCCATGGGAAGCCAAGTGAGAGTGAGCCAGAGCTACCAGTCGAGAGTGTTCGAGAAGGGCCAAATTCCTCCAGGTGTTGGATCTTTGCACATCCGAGAGACACCATCAGCGAGTGGTCCCTGTGCGGCTCGAAAAAACTCATTAGAACCTCCCCCATCCCATACACACTCCATGGGGCGACTTGGGTGGTGAAGGCAAGACTAAGAGGTTCTTGTGAGGGAAAAGGAACTTCCTCGTAAGAACCTACAGAAATTACCAGAGGTGCCCGTGAGAGGGGCGATGCGAATTTTCGAGAAGGCCTTTTTTCCAACTGGCATTGGAGTTCACACATTGCGAGCCGCACCAGCCATTCAGCTGCGAGTCGGGCTAAAACGAGCCAGGTTTGGTACGCTTTTCGAGCCATGTACGTAGCGTGGAAGGCGAAGAAACACGAACTCCGGGTTCAGTTTGTGACGTTCTCCCGTTTTTAAAGGGCATCCTGCCGGCCTGGGAATGGAGGTCCTCAGAGCGTTTCCTGAGTTGCGTTGTACAGGGCTCTGACTTGAATGTTTTAGACCGAGCTGCACCAGAAAACAATAACGAGAGTTTTTTTTCATCACACTTACGACACGCCCTAAGGGCGGGTCACCAAAAATCGTTTTGGCAAAATACCTTACTAAACCGCTCCGGATTTTTATTTGACCGTTTTAGAACGCAGAACATCTTTGCGAACCGCAATCGGATGTACTTCAGTGACACGCCCTAATCTGTGTGGCAGCTGATCTCGAGATCGCCTCACATGATTTCCAATGTCATATGAACCTGGAGACATCATCCTCGCTCGCATCGAAAGTTTCAACTTCAGTTCACGACACAGTGCATGCGGTGCGAAGTTTGTCGCGAGTGTGGTCGCCCAGGGGTCAACTCCTCCCTGCAACAGGCTTTCCTCATGTCGACGACGAGTCGCAAAAACGGAGCCGCAATCTCACAATGCCTCACTCAAACACATGCAGCCCTCCAAAGTCTACATGCGAAGCTCGTCGTCTACACCACCATAGGAGGCAACGAGTTGACAGCTCTACACGCTCTGTGTTTTTGAGCTAGCTGTCGTAAGAAACCCAAACATTTGGGTTCCCTGCGAAGATCATGTTTTGCCCTACCCTGGGTGACTACAGAGATCGTCGGTCGGGAACTATTCAACTGGTCTGATAAGCGCCCTTGTGGATCAGCGAAAGGCACACACTCCCGAATCTGCTATAGAAGATTCTCGAACATTTATCTCTGGCATCTGGAGGGCAGATGAAAAAATTATGCCACCCTATGTTGAGTGCGACGCGCCCCACGATCTGAACTCCCAAACCCCAAGGAGTCCTTGGCGAGTCCAAGTCCCTATCGTCCGTGGTACTTAGATCGTGCCTTTTGCCATCTCACTCTCATAAGCAATAAGGCATCGTCTCCCACTTGCGTTCTGAACAGAAGCCAGTTGGCTAATTTCTATTAGAAATCTAGTACTTTCTACGCCTGCGAACACTTCCGCGGGTCCAGCTGATAGTGCCGCCAACCCTTCCATCACGGTGTTTCGGCACAGCACTGCTGTGATTGGATCGTCACCATGCCGATTTCACGCGCCGCTCTCTCTGCCGCTCTCCTGGCGTGCCTGTTTGCGCTTCTCGCTCTTTCCCCCGCATCCGCGGCCGCTCAAAGCGCGTTCCTCGTGGCGAAAGCCAAGACGCTGCGCGCCGCCGCAGATCAAGCGGCGGCGGACCTGAAAGTCGCTCAAGCGGACGCCGCCAAACACGCGGACGAGGTAGCCGCCGCCACTCAAGCATTGATCGACCTGCAGGGCCCGGATCCGACGCTCGACAACCTCGTTTCAAGCGTCTCCGACGTAAATGGTAGCCTCGCCGACGCGCAGTACGACCTCGACATCGCGAATAAGATCCTCGTTCTGCGCGTCGCGGATCTCGCGGCTTTCAAGGCGGACCCGTCGAAGCACCCGCAGATCCCGGCGGCGCAGAAGGCGGTCAGCGACGCGATTCGGCGCGCGAGCATGACGTCCGCGCTGCTGCAAGAGTGGAAGGTCGTCGTGGCAGAGGCTGCGCAGACTGAGGCGGACGCGCAAAAGGCGGTGAATGAAAACCCGTCGGAGCCGGCGACGCTAGCTGCACTCGCGGAAGCGCAGGACTTGCGGAAATCCGTTGAGGAGGTGTTTCCGGATATGGTGGCGCAAGATCAGCGCGCGCAGGCGCGGCTGGCCCGCACGCGGAAGGAATTGAACGATCTGGTTACGCTGGGTCCGCAGGGAGAGAGTGTTTTCCAAATGGCGGTGGACGACGCGAAAGCCGCAGTTTCCGTCGCCCGCCAGGTGTACGACGACACGTTCGCGGCTGTCGTCGACGCGCAGCAATCGATTAGCGATTACCAGACGAAGAAGGAAAAGGCGGTTGCTGACGCGAAGGCGAGTTTGGCGAAGGGAAAGCAGAGCCAGGCTATCACTGACAAGAAGTTGACTCAGCTTACGGATAAGCTCAAGGCTGCCCTGGTGCAAGCTGACAATGCTGAGAAGGCTGCTGGAATCAGCAAGGCCACCTAAACAGGCTTCGGTAAAAAGCTCGATCAGTGTGGGTGTATCAGTCTACACCCATCCCATTAATTTCATTCATGCATAGCGCTGATGTCTGCACTTTTATGTGTGATGATCACATACGCAACAACGGCACAAGCACTGCTCTGCCTCGAGGTGTGGCTCTTCACCTTGGGAAATAAGCGCATTTGGGATCACGGTAGCATGTTTACTGTTGGTGAATGAGCGGGTGGGGTCTAGGGAAGCCCTGTTTGTCCTTCTTTATTTACCTATGATTCGGCTTTCTACATCTGGTTCATTCTGTGCTTCTCACCATCCTCCCTAGAGAGAAAGCCTCACATACCTCACCTGCACAAACATGAAGGCCATAAGAGGGGTAGAGGCCTAGGTAGATAGTGGGTGGAGGAGGGTAAGTGGCATGTGTGAGAGGGATGGGTGCTGTATAATAGCAGCTGTAAAACTGCTTATCTATCTATCTGGACAGAGCACGAGGGTGCTTTTAAGTCTACTCAGAAGGGAGTTGGATGTTAGAACAGGGGAGGGGCGAGGATAACAACATAAGAAACGAAGGGGTGAAGAGGTTTATTAATGGACAGGAAGGAAATGAGAGCCCTTCCTATCATGACCGTTTGGCTTTCGTGGACAAGAGAACAAGGCAAGGAGCAATGAGGGGTGAACAGAGGTCCAGTACCCGAAGAAACAGGGCCCGCTATGACCCCTCGGCTTCCATGCCTAGGGTTTGGGAGTTTGAAGAAAGGCTGGTGCAGGAAATAGCTGGACAGGAAAGAACATTTGAACTGTACATTCATTACAGGAGCTGACTGTACAACAAAACTTGGTGCTAAAAAAAAAAAACAGAGTACCGTAATCGAAAGTTGAATCCCCTTAATGCATGTCATCCTTTCCACCCACCCATCCTTTCAACCAGCGGATCCGCACCGCAAGACACGGCCATTTAAAAGGACGGAGTGGAAGGGGGGGACGGGAGCAATAGAAGAAACAGGAAAAGTCATCCGCGAGAAGAAACATCCGAGAAACGAGGCGACTTTCAGAAAAATCGAGGTGGGACTGGGTGCGTCTTTTGAGGTGAAACCCTAAACCCGGTCACCAGGAAAAAGCGTTCCTAATTAGCAGCAGGAGAGCCGGCCAGTAACGATAAGAAATGCCATCCGAAAGTCACTATAGAGTGACCAGAGCGGGTAGCGAAAAGTCGCCGGCTTGTTACGCTGTACGAAGAAATGCGAATACCACGCAGCCGTAACCCACGACAGGGGCGAGGAGGAGGAACCTAGGGTTACGTGTGACTGCAGATGATGTGACGCAAGCGACGGCGGCGAGGGTCCCCGCGGTGTGCCACAAACGAGTGGCTGGCTTGCTGTGCTCTTTGAGGTAAAACGGCCAGAACTCGGTATAAGTCGCGATGCGCTTGTGAGAAGCTGTTGCTGGTTTGATCCTAACTACGGTCCTGCTGAGGACACGGTATCCCCTGACGCATCCCTAGCCATACTCACACGCCAAGTAGCGGTTTTGA